TAAAGATACATTTTTTGTTAGTTTTTGTAAGTCTGTGAGAGCTAATTTTGTTCAATTTGGAGGTATTTATTTTAGTTATTAATTATTTATATATTTATTTTTCTAATACAGAAGAGATCTTTTTTTTTTCAATGATTGTTTAATTCATTTTGAAACCTGTCATAATAAAAGTAAGCTGTAAGTAAGTTGAGTAACCTCTGAGAAGCCCATCTGAATTTGTGTCTTGTAATATAACCATTTTATCCATACAGAGGAGGCATAGCCTACTTTAAATGTAATAAAATTAATACGCCGTCTTTGAGTAAACTTCGAGTATCATTTGAGTATCTGTTTACCGATTTTTGGTAAATCATTTGAGTATTCTGTCCTGGTTTTTGGTAATCAAAATATGGTCACCCTAAATTAATAGTTCACTCTTAAAAATGTACGTTTTCACACTCACGCACACAGATACACACTCTCTTTCTCTCTCTCACACACACACACACACACACACATAGTTGGAATCAAGATTATTCAACAAAATTTAATGAAACCAATTCAACAAAGGCATCAGTAAACTATAGAGAAACTATATTACTACACATTTGAGTGATTCTGAGGATCTAAAGTTCTAAAGAAATTCAACAAATCAAATCATGGTTAAAATTATTCAATCCCCCAAAGTCCAATTTTGTGCTTTCTTAACCTCCAACACCAGCTGAAGTGCTTAAAGGGATAGTTCACTTTGAAATTCATTTTTGATATGTTTTAGCTTATCTCAAGGGCACACAAGATAGGTGTCTTTGTTTCCACAGTATTTTCAATTTTGACATTTTTTCGGTCAAACCGTTGTTGTCTGTCAGTCATATAATGGAGGTCTATGGTCACCACCTCAAAGAGCATGCACAGAGAACTCCAAATTAAACATGATTTAATGAATCGTAAATGTAAGTACACACTGATGGCTTAAGACACGAAACGAGCGGTTTGTGTGAGAAAACGAACAGTATTTATATCGTTTTTACCTACCAGAGCCACGTCCAGGTACTCTGAGGGTGAAGTCGCTTCTGTCTGCTCAAGACAAGAGGTAAAACGATATAAATACTGTTCGTTTTCTCACACAAACCGCTCGTTTCGTGTCTTAGGCCATCAATGTGTACTTACATTTACGAGTCATTAAATCGTGTTTAATTTGGACTTCTATGTGCATGCTCTTTGAGGTGGACCCCCATACCTCCATTATATGACTAACAGACAACAACGGTTTGACCTAAAAATATCAAAATTGAAAATACTACGGAAACAAAGACACCTACATCTTGGATGTCCTTGAGGTAAGCAAAAACATCTCAAAAATTAATTTCAAAGTAAACTATCCCTTCACTAATATCCGTTCACTTTGCAAAGTGAACTTTCCCTTCACTAAATCTTCTGTCCCGTCTCTACATCCCAGTCCTCGTCCGAAGAAGCTTCCAGATCTTTGATAATCAGGTTTTCACAGACTTTGCTTTCTTAAAATCCCAACAAATATTGTCAAAGAGATTTGAATCTGGAGATTGTACAGGCCACCTTGATCATTCACGAGTGACCCTGAACCAAGCTTCAGTATACTAGCATGGGATGGGGTGTTTGTGCATTGACCATCAAGCTTCAGGCTCTGCACCAAAGGCATCTCCGTCTTTGCCAACATGGCTTGATACTTCAAAGAACTCATGATGTCCTTCATACACGATATCCACATCCAGCAAAGCAGCATAGCAGGACTGGACCTCCTCCGGGTTTGACCATAGAGATGGTCTTCTTCTCAGAAGTTTATATTGCTGATCCAAACGCTCCAGCTTGCTCCAATGACTCCATAAAACACCCAGATCTTCACAGGTCTTCCCAAATCAATTTCAGCATATTCAATCGGCCCTTTTTGTTCTTGGTCAATTCAGCAAGATGTTTCATTGAGATGTTTCTTCCTCCTTTCATCAGCTCATCTTGCAGGTCTTTGGCAGTAAATTAAGAGTTTTTCTTATTTGCTCTGATCAAACATTTTATTTCCTTTAATGATGTTGTGTTTTTTCTTCCACACCCAGAAGTGTTTTCTGGTACCACACATTTTAGAGGTATTAATACGGCCAACTGCTGTGTCTCTTTCAGGATTTTGGAAATCACAATGGAACAGATTACTTCTAATGTAATAGAACAATTTGTTCTAGCATTTGTGAGAGCTCTTTTGACTTTGCTACTCAACTTTGGCACATGCACGGGATAAATGTATGTTTGTTTAACAGCACAAGCTAATTTGGTAAAGTTTCCAAAGGCTTAATTTAACACAATTTTGTACCATACCAAACAAATAAATGACTTAAAAACAGCAGCGTTGAATATGGGTTGAATAACCTAATCAAGTCAAGTCAACTTTATTCATAATGCTTTTTACAAATAGATTGTTTCAAAGCAGCTTTACAGAGATAACAGGAAAAAAAAATGCAACAAAGTTTGTTTCAGCAGATAAAAGAAAATAGCGTCACAGTCCAGTTAAAGTAGGTTCAGTGATGGTTTATTCTTGTCATAAAAATGTTATTAAATTAGCTAATTTATATATGTGGCCGCTTTGGAGACAACAGTGATGTCATCATCCAGCTCAGTTCAGTTCTCATATGTGCAGACAGATCAATATATTGTTGAATATTAAATAGTTGTAAATCATATAAATTTAAAACACATCGACACTATCACTTTTATTTGCCTCTAAATCGTTATAGATGCTCTTAAAATAACAACAACAACTGTATTTTCAGAAAAGCTTACTATTTGTAAATTATTAGTCTAAAATGTCCTTTAATACATACAAAATCCAACAGATCTCATGGGAGATTTTAATATATGAAGAGTTCAGATGCAAAAGCCTCTAAATGCCATTTGAAATTTTCTTCTTTAATGATGATTTTTATCAAGCTTGTATATTTAAGTTCAGTAATTTCACTTAAATGGCAATGATAATTACCTATTAATTGTTATTTAAGTGAAATTACTGAACTTAAATATACAAGTTTGATAAAAATCATCATTAAAGAAGAAAATTTCAAATGGCATTTAGAGGCTTTTGCATCTGAACTCTTCATATACACTACCGGTCAAAAGTTTTAAATCGGTAAGATTTTTTATGTTTTTAAAATAGGTCTCTTCTGCTCACCAAGGCTGCAATTATTTGATAACCCCCCCCCCCCAAAGAAAAACAAACAAACAAAAAAAACAGTAATATTGTGAAATATTATTGCAATTTAAGACAATGGTTTTCTATGTGAATATATAGTGAAGTGTGTAATTTATTCCTGTGATCAAAGCTGAATTTACAGCGTCATTACTCCAGTCAGTGTCACATGATCCTACAGAAATTATTATAATATGATGCTCAAGAAACATTTATGATTATTATCCATGTTGAAAACAGTTTTTTACATTTTTATTTCAGGATTCTTGATGAATAGACAGTTCAAAAGAACAGACTTGATCTGAAATGGAAAGCTTTTGTAACATTAATCACTATACAGGCCTACCATTCAAAAGTTTGGGGTCAGTAAGATTTTTTTTTTTATTTTTGGGGGAAAGAAATTAGAAAATAATTTTATTCATCAAGGATGAGTTAAATTGATCAAAACTTACAGTAAAGACATTTATAATGTTAGAAAAGATTATATTTTAAATAAATGCTGTTCTTTTGAACTTTCTATTCATCATAGAATTTTTGGGGAAATGGTACGCGACTGTTTTCAACACTGAAAATAATAATTTATGTTTTTTGAGCATAAAATCAGCATATTAGAATGATTTCTGAAGGATCATGTGACACTGAAAACTGATGTGTAATCAGCAACAGTAATGATGTTGAAAATTCAGCTTTCAAATTACATTTTAAAATATATTAAAATAGAAAACAGTCATTTTAAATTGTCATAATATTTCACAATATTACTGTTTGTCTTTTCTTTCATCTTTTTTCATCTTTTTTTTTTTTTTCAAATAAAGCAGCCTTGGTGAGCAGAAGAGACTTCATTTAAAAACATAAACAAATCTTACTGATCTAATACTTTTGACCGGTAGTGTATATAATTTAAAGATCTCGAAAAAAGTTTTAACCCGGTGTAAGTGTTTTTTTTTGTTGTTGTTGTTTTTTTGTTTTTTTGTTTACAGTTTATGGTAACAATACATTTAAAACCCTTCTTTAAAAAATAGAGTCGGTAACAACAAAAACCTGTACCAACATTACAAACGAACGGCTCTGGGTTGGTCAAGACAATCTCCGTGTTGCTCGTGTCTGGCGCGCCGCTATCGTGATTGGCTGCGCAGTGCCACCAGACCATCTGATTGGTCCCTGATAATTTAAACGCGTATCCTCCTCCCTCTGGCCCCGCCCCCGCTGATCCACGTCCCGTTGGAAGACCCCGTGAAATGCCCCTGAAACTCCCGAAGGCGATTGTTGTGTTTCATTCATTCGCAGCTCGCAGACCGCGCTGGTTTACACGCTTTGGACTTCGTCCCGACCGCTCATTTTAAAAGGGTACGTTTTAAATATCTCTTAATTATTTTCAAAGTTGTTTTAGTATTATTACATCTCTGCAAAACAGAAACACTAAAACAAAAACAGGAATAAGGTGTTCAGTTTAAAATGCTTTTTTTGATAAGGATTAACAAACACTAAGCAGATTGGCGGGCTCGCGTGGCGCGTTTTTCGTCGTGTTTTATTACCTACGAGAATCTGCTAGATATAATTACTCTCTCCTTCTACATTATTCCCAAATAAACTTTATATACAGCAACTATTTAATTCCTTTAAAGTTGTAATTTTGTGAGAGGTTTTAAACAAAAGGCTAACATAGTTTTAAATCGTTTCAAACAAAGATTTGGTGTTAAAATTCGCCCGTGTTTGTCATTTACAACATTTCAGTGGATTAAAGCCCTTCGCAGTGTAAACAACAGAACCGTGTTTTTACGCGCTCGGGGATTTAAAAGGGCGCGAACCTCGCGCTGTGTGTTCGTGTTCCGGTTTGCGCTGGAACTGCGGGGTATCCGTAGGAACCGCCGTTCGCATTTTAGCTTTCTGTTTTAAAGCTCCGCCGCAGCACAGCCAACCTCCGACGGGTCTCACTTCTGCAGTTTAAAGGTATTGAAATCCGACGGTTTCGACACACACGTCGTGATTAAAAAATATTTTTGCTTATAACCGACATTGTTAGGGACAACTCGCGCGAGCTCGGGCCTAGCGCGTGTTGTAAACAAACGAGAAGCCGGTCGTTCTGCCGTTTCATTACACGACCTGTAAAGTTAATGTGGAACGGTGCTCTATTTTTTTAGTGTCTGTAAATGTACCCGCTATGTATTTAAAGTTTCTGTTTTTTCACCAGTTATCACTAGTGTGTGTGTTAGTGCTAATCCGCCGACTCTGTTCCCCCATGCAGTTTCTCCAGTAAGACGAAATGAGTGATTCCGGTAAGGATACAGTGGCTACTAAAGAGAAAGATGGAGCAGAGAAAAGAGGACGTGGAAGACCACGAAAACACCCACAGGTATTGCAGTGCTTCCATGGGGCGTTTTAGATGGATGTGTAAATAATTGGATGGTATATTTCATATTGGTGAGCTGAAAACCATGCCCTTGGTTTGCATTTTAGTTTAAAATGATACCAGAATGGGGGTGGTTTTACATTTTCAATATGTGGACTGAGGAAATCTGAACCCATATTTGTTAAATGCGATGTTCAATTCAGAAAAGTTTTGGTGCATTTACAATCCAATGGCACACGCTCCCCATGTGCAGTGGTCATCTGTAGTGGCAGGACGACCAAGGCCTGTAACATGATCTCTTTAAACCAGCAGTAACCCATTTACTGTTTCAGCTGCTCTCTGATTGGCTGTTGGGAAATGCCAGCGCTTGATTGGTTCATCCTCTTGTCACTCAGGTCCTCAAAGTGCATTGGGTTTAAAGTTTCTATTACTCCATCTTGTAATCAGAGCCTTTGAGTAGTAATCAATGGCCACCATCATAAATGACTCATTATGCAATCTTAGTTTCTTAAGAGTATAGTGCTTTTTTTTCTTTTTGTTTTGTTTTTTACTAAAGTACAATAAATACATTACCCCTTTTGTAGCAATGGGTTTGTGAGTAGTTAGTACGGATTTTAACCATATTGACAACGTCCATGTTCAAAGTTTAATTGCAGTACATTTCGTAAATATCAACAAAGCAGATTCTCAATTTGTGCTTTGGTAGGTGATTAAATTCTGAAATCATGCAACATTTTAAGTAGATAGTCATTTTGGTAATTGTAACCATATTAATACTTTGAAAATGTACATTTGCACTAAAGACGGCTCAGGTAACAAATGCAGTGGGTTGTACTCATCCCAATATTGACAAACTTGGTTTTCTGTCCTTGAAGAGACTGAGTTTATATATGCTGTACTTGCGGTTGGCTCTCCATCCAGATGCATACGCTGCACGTTTAACTGATAGTCAGGCTTTAATGGTCTACAGTCTATTTGATCCTCTTTTGGCAACCAACGACTGCATGCCACCTGTTGGTCTTAAAGTAGCGCCCAGTTGTGTTTGCGATGACCAGCACATGCTTTGTAAGTTCTCCACTAGGATACGGTGATCCACTCTTGGCTTGTTTGTGTAACTGTTTATTTCAATCTTCTTGCAGCAGGAGCCGAGTGGGTCACCCACACCGAAGAGACCGAGAGGAAGACCAAAGGGCAGCAAAAACAAGCCCAGCTCCTTGACACCGAGGGGCAAAGTGAGTAGATGTTCAGTGCACAACTTCCCCCTCTGCACTATCACAAACACATTTGCATCTGCCGGCCTCCTACTTAAAATGACTAGACATACTTTATAATTATAGTAAGGCGAGGCAACGATTAAATCGCAAACAAAATAAAATTTGTTTGTTATTTATGTATGTTTACGTGTGTGTGTATACATATATATATATATATATATATATATATATATATACACACATATGTATATGTGTGTATATATTTGTATGTTTGTCTAATATATTTTGTAGTCATACATGCATGTATGTGTATATTATATTATAAATTAATATGCTATATATATAGCATACACTTTCTAAAACGTATACATGCATATGTGTATTTATACAAAATAATTATACACAGTTGCACACGTGCACAGTTGCACACAAACACACTTTTATTTTCGATGCGATTAACCGTTGCTCCTACTATAAATGAAGAGTTCAGATGCAAAAGTGCCATTTGAAGTTTTCTTCTAGAATGATAATTTTTATCAAGCTTGTATATTTAAGTTCAGTGATTTCACTTAAATGGCAATGATAATTACCTATTAATTTTTATTTAAGTGAAATTACTGAACTTAAATATACAAGTTTGATAAAAATCATCATTAAAGAAGAAAATTTCAAATGGCATTTAGAGGCTTTTGCATCTGAACTCTTCAAATATACTATAAATTATTTCTAGTCTTTAAGTCTCAGGCCCAGCATTAATTGTTGCCCAGCACTAATTTATAGTGGAGCGTTCTTGAGGCCATTTAATCATTCCTTTAAGAACTGTTCAATGTTCTAAACTGCTGCTTCTATGCAGTCACTGCAATATCCTTTTATGTAAATGTTCTCTTTGGAACCTTCTATTTATCTAAACAGTCTCTTTTGGAACCTTCTATGTAAACATTGTTGTTGATACTAGTCAGTTTCTTGGTTCCTTGCTCTGGTTGTGTGCGATCACAACAGTCTGTTTCGAGGCTGCAGGCCAAACCATTTGCTTGCTTCCGGTGAACTTCCTGCTAGAGCTTCCTGTGGCGTAGCAGGCGCTGTGTGTTGCAGGTGCACGAGCAGCAGAGATGATGATGATGATGATACCCCCCACCCCCTCAACTCTTCATTCCCTGCCATCTATTGTCATGACAACAGCTGTCCCTCTGACCCCTCCCCCCATAAGCACATCGCCTTGGCCTTTTGTGTGTTTGTGTGTGTGCATCTCGTAGCAGCTGTCTCTCAGCTCTGGGCCAGGTGGCTGATGGGCTGAAGTGCACCGCGTGCTGCTCGTGTCCGTTTCCAATATAATGTCCAGTGAACCCGCTGGCCCGGGCCGCCTGCCAGCACAGGCCCAGCGCTCCCTCTGCTGCTCATGTGTGTGTCGCACCACGCTCACTCTCTCTTCTCTTTCAGAAAGCAGCTCCGGCTTCGGCACCTGCAGGGACAAAACGCCGCGGACGACCCAAGAAAGCCGTAAGTCCTCATTCGTGTTCTGTGCCTTTAAGAGTCTGTTCTGTGTGGAGCTTCGGATCATTTTACTGACGCTCTTGTTCGCTCTCGTTCATTAAAATGAACAGATCTTTTTTCTAGTCGTTTGGTTCATTTAAGGGGCTTTAAATGTCATACTTTTTCAATAGGCAAATTCATCACAAATCCACCTACGCAATCTTGATCATATTCTGAATTAAGAAATCATAATGTAGTCCAAAATAATTTACATGGAGCAAACTAATCACTTTACCTTCCGAGTCCTTCGATCGTTTGTCACGTGACAGATGCATGAACAACTCATCGCTACTGTGGCGTTGCGGCACAAACCCCACGGCTACACCAGTGTTTATATGGTGAGAAGTTGCCACGGGCAACAGTGAAAATATTTGTGTGCTTCTCACGAGAGATGCTTTCTCGCCCTCCGTTTCTCCTGTAGGTCTTGTATATAAGAACAGATCAAATATCTTGAAACGTTTTATTTTGCTTTGTCAGTTTGGCATGTAATCAGCGCCGCCCTGCATTTCCTCGACAGCTCACGGTGTAGTCATCATCACCCCTGTGTGTCTTTTATACTGCATTCCTCCCGCTGCCTCAGTCGAACTGAAGTTGAGTCACTGAAACCCAAGGCTTTGAGTCACACGAGAGTTATTGCAGCCAGGGCCTTTCCTTCACTTAATCATTCCAGCTTTGAACATGGGAAGCTCTGGTTTGACTTTAATAGCATGAATGCCACATTAGTGTTCTCGAATACGTCATCTTTGAGCATTTGTGCAAAGTTTAAGTTGGCAGCAGTTGCATTGACCTATAATTACCTAAAGCACTGTGTTAAATTAATGAAAGCAGTGGAGGTTATGAGTCAGTGGCCCATATAAATACCCACACTTGTGGTCTCTGCACTTGTCAACTTGAATGACGAATTTCCTGTATCTGGTTCAAGTGGGCATGGTGACCACCACGTGTGTCAATTCGAGGGGACACAAATGCAATAGTTTACAAAGCTTTTAGATTTTCAATACTTTATTTTAAACTTCTAAATGTAGAATCTCTATGTGACAGAAGACAGTTTAGTAATTGCAAAGCAACAATACAATGTGCAACATGTATTGACAAGAGTCTTGCTCATTTATTTCCTGTCATGTGTGCAAAGTGGCAAAGACAGCAAGTGTTGGTATATCGAGACTCTGATCGTGTTGAGATTCATTCTTCCGCAGTTGAGATGCGTGATTCACTGGGTTCGTACAAAGTTAAAAAAAAAAAACACAAATTTTATTTTATATATATATGTGTGTATATATATATACACACTGCAGCCTGTCTGATATAGATATGGCTATGATATATGGCTATGAGCATAATATTGCTTATAAACATCCAAGTATATAATACAGCATTCATTCTTCAGGTCAATCATCATCAATTCATGAAAAGAAAAAAAATCAGTTTGAACAAGGAAATTGATTTCTTTGTTAACTTTAACCATTGAAAGGGTACTATGACAGAGTCGTTACATACTTTTCTTGTGCTGCACTTTTATTTGCACCCATTTTGTTTTATTAGTACAATTTTATTAATCGGTTGACCTTTTTTAGAATTTAAAAGCTAACAAGTAATGTTTGATAAGTGAGATCTCTGATTGTAGTCCTGGAGTTTCCTTTTACAGAATCGGAACGAACCCTTTATTCAGCGGTTGTGTGAATCTCACAAAGAAATGTTTTTGGGACCATTGTATTTTTGAATGCAAAATATAAAAATATAGTTTTCTTCTTTCCAGGAGAAAGAGGAGCAGCCATCCAAGTCCTCTGAGGAGGAGGAGGAAGAGGAGGAGGAAGAGGAACAGTAACCAGCAACTCGTGCTACCTCACAATCCAACATTATTTCTTCCTGTTGACCAGAGCTGGACTGACACCCCCCCTCCCCCCTTCCCTTTACACTAGTGCCACCCTCGCCCTCCGACTCACCCTTACGCTCTAGCGCCCTCTAGTGTCAGGGAGGACAGCACACTTCATGCGCCTTCTCTGTGTAACACCACTGGAAAAAGACTCCGAATACTGTATGTCCATTCATGGATGCATGCACATGTGTATGCACATCTGTATACGTCTCGCACTCAATGGGTAATTGGTCGAAAGCGTCTGTCATTATACTGGACAAAGATATGCTCTGATGGCGGCTTGACACGAAGCGATTTGCAAAATACTGAAGTTTTCTCTTTCGCAAACCACAGGTTCAGGCCTTGAGAATTCAAGATTATTTTTTACAAGTCAAAGTCTAAGATATTGGTAGGTTGTGTGAAATTCATGTCGTTGTGTACTGGACAAAGGTGAATTGACCTACTCGTTTGTTTTTACTTGGGTTGTGTGTGTGTGTGTGTGGTAACTCGACGTCTCCAGTTATACTTTTTAGCTACTCCGATTCAAGCTAGAAATAAAATGAGCATATTTTTGAGTGAGCATAATCTAGAGGTCTTTTAACGTGTAATCAACATATCATTGACTGCTTTGTCCTGACTTTTTTTTTGTTTTTCATAACTGCCTGCGCTGTCTCGCCACCTTCGTGATCTCACTCTCCGCGATACGGTTACCGGTGCGCGAACGCTTGCGTAGGCAGCTCGTGTTCAGTGTAGTTCATCTTAGCGGATAATCTAAAGGAACCGATTGCCTGATGGGTTTTTAATTTTGGAAGTGACTTGATTTGTTTAACCTCCAGCTTAAGCATGGCGGCCTGATCCTTGTTCCAAGACTGCACCGCGAATGATTTAACGCCAGCAGTGCTTATCAGCCCCACATAAATCTGTTAATCTTGCATGTTTTTTGTTCTTAAATAGAAAACGCTATAGATCATTCCATTCGCTCTCTCTATGTCCTTGCGAACTCCCTAGCCGTGTCACCTCTGTCCTGTAACAGTCCTGTTAGCGCTCTTAATGCGTTTTTTTTTTTTTTTTTTTTTTGACGTGTTGAATTCCATGTCAGGGAACGCTGATCGGTCCAGTGACTGGGTCTCCTCTCAGAACTTAATGCTGCTACAAACATGGTTAATTAAACCCGGAAAACTGCAACCAGGTCAGTTCTACTCTGGACTTGACCGTCACATTCATACCTCACTTTACAACAGCCTATGACGGATTACTCTTCTCTCTTTCCTGACGACGTTCAGCTGGTCCCAGTGCAGTGTCTGATCCACTTATAACTGTCTCCAGTGTGGGATTTTTGTTGCTTTTATTTGTTTTAAACAGTTTTTTTTTTGTTTTCCATATATAAACATCTGGACATGCCACAGGAATTACTGCATTGAGTCACAGAGATGCAAAACAAGTTCAGACTGTGGTAGAAATATAGGTTTGTGTGTGTTAGTTTATTTTTCTATGCGTATTCGTTTGGTGCACTGAATTGACTTGATTTGTTGTATTATGGACAAAATGATTTAGTGTGGCACCTAAAGGTTAGGGCTCTTTTCTCTCTCTCTCTCCTTCCTCTGTAATAAACTACATCCTGCTAGTTGCTTAGCTCTGAGCCCCATTTAGTAGTTCATGATGGTACTAAGGCTGGTTTTAAACATGCCCCCCTCAATACTGATGTCTTGTTTTTATGTGCCCGTGCACAACTGGTTTGGGATCAGTCTTTTCAATGTATACACTCTGCATTTTCTATTGTGGACTGCAGGAATTTATACTCAAAATGGTAATAAAGTTAAGAATTCGTACATGTCTTGGTCTGGCTGTATTTCTTCAAGGTATTGCTTGGAACGGATGCAACACTATTTTAAGAATAAATGTAAATTTCCATCTTCTATTAGCCAATGTTTTCTCCTTCACTTGTTTTCCTGTCAAATCTGCTTGGTCTAAAATCATCTACGTTTCTGCTTGGAAAACTTTTCTTTTAAATAATTGTAAAATTACAGCCTGTTATATTGCCCTTCATGAATTAAAAGATCCATTGGTTGATTCTGTCTCTCTCTGTACTTTGATAGAAGGGGACTTTTATTTTTCTGTTTTTTACATTGAGGATTATAATTTAGTATTTGTGTTGTGAAGGTATTTTAGTAGCTTTTTTTTTAATGTCTCAACTATTATTATTATTTTTAAGATTTCCATTACAGCAAATTAATCTAAAAATGGCTTGTTCACAATGTATATCTGAACAAGATGAAGGGTCCATATATGAATCCCAAGTAACTTTTTTTTTTTTTGACTTTTGCATTGCTTTATGAATGTTAAACACTTTGCTTCAAAACCTTGCTGAAAGTGAAACTTTTACGCTGCATGTTAAACACTTTGCCCCTGTTAAACACTTTGCTTCAAAACCTTGCTGAAAGTGAAACTTTTACGCTGCATGTTGCTGTTAAAGATTAAAGAACTAATGCAGGTGTTGTAACAACAGTAGATTTAACAAAATACACCAATAGAACTGAATGTGTGAGGGTAGCATCTTAACTTAAACTCTTCCAATGGTCAAGAAAAACCAGGAACTGCAACAGAACTTGAAATTGTTTAATTTAGAAACTACTTGTGAGTATTTTCTCTAAAATGATTACAAGTCCAGGAATTGGACTAAATATTACAGGCTGCAGATTCAACACACCTGAGCTCTGCAGGATGGCTTGAAAACCTCAGGGGAAGGGAAGTGGGTCTCTAGAAGCAGGGTTGATGGTCGCATGCCTTAACTCACGGGGCACATGACACATTAAAGAAGCCGGACTGTCCGGCTGCCTGAAATGAACAAGTTTGCCAAGTAAACTCAGACAAACCAGAAGTCATTTCACACCACTTCCCTTGACTCCGACTAGGCTCTCCGCACAGTCAACCAACTCAATTTCGTGTCACTAGGTACTGGATTTCAGGATACAACAGATTTAACATTATCAAATGATTAATGCAAGAAATATTTGATAGAACCAATTGATATTTAAAGTAGTTCACTTTTAAAAAAAAAAACTTTTGCTGATAATTTACTCACCCCCATGTCATCCCAGATGTCCACGTCTTTCTTTCTTCGGTTGAAAAGAAATTAAGGTTTTTGATGAAAACATTCCAGGATTTTCTCCATATAATGGACTTCAATGGGGACCAAACGGTTCAAGGTTGAAATGAGAGTTTCAGTGCAGCTTCAAAGGGCTTTAAACGACACCAGATGATGAATAAGGGTCTTATCTAGCGAAACGATCGCTCATTTAGAAAAAAAGTTTTATAAGCTCAAATGGTCGTCTTGCTCTGTTCTGTGATGAGTGTTTGTGAGTGACTCTCCTGTTCGAACTTGTTCATCAAAATGAACAAATCTTTTTTCGAGTCATGACTTGAAGGGTCCTAGATAAGACCCTTATTCATCGTCTGGTGTCGTTTAAAGCCCTTTGAAGCTGCACTGCAACTCTCATTTTGACCTTGAACCGTTTGGTTCCCATTGAAGTCCATTATATGGAGAAAATCCTGGAATATTTTCATCAAAAACCTTAATTTCTTTTCGACTGAAGAAAGAAAGACATGGCCATCTTGGATGACACGGGGGTGAGTAAATCATCAGCAAAAGTTTTTTTAAAAGTGAACTAATCCTTTAACCACCAAGCACCAGACTGTAAAACATAGAAGCTTGTTTCTGCCAAATTCGCAATTGCAGGAAATAAAGTCAGAAGTGGACCATAAAGAAGTAATTTACTTATGGTATATATATATATAGGAAACTTATGACTTTAACTTCACTACATTTGCAAAACAACTATCACACTGTCACTCTTAGATTTCCATCAAGGTCCCTATCTGGTGAAAGGTTGAAATGGAAATCGTCTGTGTGAAGCAGTGATACTTTCACTGACGAATTTTCATCCACAACATGTTTTCATTGACGAAAACGAGACAACTAAATAAAAAACAGCTTTGAATGACAAAAATCTATTGACATTTTGATCAATGAATAAAAACGAGACCAAAATGTTAGGGAGGGACTATTTGAGAAGAGATCCAGTCAGACCTGATGTCCTGCATGAGATGGACACATATAAATGTTTGGGAGAAAGAGAAGAGCAGACATATGGATAAATCTGAAAAAAGCACAACGACGCTAAGGATAACTCTACTCTGGCCGTTTGTTTGGTTCAACAACGTCCTTTCAGAAATATGCTTTAGCTTAATCTTGCCAAATAAACACAATGTAGAAACCTTTCTTTTCTAGTGTATTTTCGACTTTGGAAAGAGCTTTGTAACTTATAAACAAGGTGAGTTCAAGATAGTCGCGTGCTAACATGAAGCACCACTGACTGGCCGCGTAAACCACCATGATGGCACAGCCATAACTGCAACAATAATAAAACCATGGGTCACAAAAAAATAAAAATACTTTTGATGCATAAGTACTTCTGTACTTTTTAATTACGTTTTATTTGTAACAAAGTAACATTTGACCAAACTGACTTTTTAATCATAAACTTGCAATCGAGAGAAGGAAAATTGTGAGATAAAAAGTCACAATAAACTTTTTTATTTGTCACTCCAAGGCGGAAACAAGCTTTCCCAGTAAAGTCCATGATAAAATCAGTTCAGTTCAACGTGGAACTTCAAAATGAAAAGAATAAATACATAAATAAAAAACCCTAGCCAGATTCAGTCACATTAAACAATCAGTTTTTCTGACTGCACACACAGTCAAAGAAGAATGCATAAAAACTAAATTTGCGATTACATCTGTTAGCTTTGAGGTCATCTCTATACAATTGTAATTCCAAAAGTTGACAAAATAACCTCTCAGCAAATATGTTTGATAAGTTATACAATATGTGTACAGTTTTCCATCAAAATACGCCAAAAAAAAATTGATGATTCCTGCATATTCACATTTTTGTCCATTAAAATGCTCTCTACAATGAGAACGACTTTAGCTTTTGACTAGCTTTAGCAATTACTGTGCGTTTATTGGTTGAGAAAATGCTTTTACTTCATTTCCTTTTCCAACCAACAACTGCTAGAGGGATGAAATTAACCCAATTTGAAAGAGACTTTAAGAATGGTTTTGTAGAATTATGACACAAACTAAAGGCGTTTTGAGGAAATGTCCCATTATTTACGTTATTTTTTTGTAAATAAAATGACATTTATTGAGTCCAGTGTTGTTTGGATCATTCTTCAAAAGTTCTTCTCTTGTACAAGTTCGGAACAACTTGAAATAATGAAGTAAATTGAGTAAATGAAGACGATGTTTAACTACGTAATTTAGCACTCTCTCATTCTGGAAAGTTCAAATATAATGCATGATTTTCCCAGAGCATGAGTGCATCCAGCGACAGGAAACAAATGTTGGCAACATGCTTTGTTTTGACAAGTTGACAAACTATAAAAAAAATAGCTGTGATGATAGTTTAGCACGATGACCTAGTTGGGTCTCGCTTTACTCACATTCATGCGTACTCAGTAAAATAAACAGCTCTCACAAGGATTTAATAGCACAGAATATCAGCAAAATACATACAAGTAAAATAAATAAATTCATTGTAACAGTGGCAAATGAACGTCCTTCTTATTCAGACAGCAAAGCTGCACTTTAAAATGGACTATATTTGCAAGAGGAGACCTGAGGTGAACAAGTATGATCCCAACGTCATTTCTCATTTCACTAAAGCTCTTCTAGGCTCATCGCTTCGAACTGCCGTGGAAAAAACAGTAGCGTATTGCTCAAAATGGTCCATCTTGTGAATCTGCAATACGGAACGATGAGACAACATATGAAGTGACAAATTATTGACCAGGTTAAGAGATTGTGTGTAGGATCACCAAAATGTAAAGTAGTTTTTGTGGCAAACCTTTATTCTCATGCATCAGGATTCTTTGAAAGCAAGGGTCTGCGATGTTGATAGGTCCTCATCCAACCCTGGACCACCTGCAAATACAAAAGAGGAAAGCTTCTTATATTTTAATGTGGCTTATTACATTGTCTGGGATTAAAGGGTTTATTACATCATGAGACCAGGTGGCTGTATACATATTTGACATGTGTGTAAATCCACTCTGGTTGTCGTGGGTCTGAAACATTTGTCATGCTTTTTTCTTTAAGTGCCCTTTTCATATATTACCTGTCATGTAGTGTGTTTTTTGCTGTTTGTGAATGTAAATTTCTGCAATGTTTCAAAAATCAAAGTAAAGATAATTGGAGTTATTGAAAGAAAGAAACGATTCTAGACTGCCTGAAACGAGTGGTCAGTAATTGCAGCCTAATTTCATGCCACACCTGCGCAGGTTTGTAACACATTTGCACAGTGGTGGAATGTAACGAAGTACAAATACTTCGTTACTTTACTTAAGTACATTTTTCACGTATCTTTACTTTACTTAAGTAGAATAAATAGTGCCTACTTTTTACTTTTACTTCGTTACATTTTGCAGCAATTATCATACTTTCTACTCCACTACATTTCTACAACTTCTGTTACATTTTCATTACATTTCCTGATCTGTTTTTCCCCCGCCAAACCGTAATCTGACCGTCCGTCCGTTGCACGTTTGTCTCACCAGTGACGTTTGGTTGCCATAGATACATCAACTTAATGCGTCTCGCACGCAGTGTGTTTATCGTGCAATGGGCTCTATGCACGGCGTTATTTCCGGTGAAGGATTAAGGATGCTCGATAACTTCCGCCGATCATAGAGTCCAATGCAATACCGAGAATTTATATTGAATTTTATACTCCATGGTTATACTAATGAAACGTTAGTCACAAAAACAGATAAAACAGACACCCCTCGCTGTGTTTATGCTTCTTTTTAAAATTATATTAAATAAACATAACTATATTTAAAATTACATCTAAACGTATGTACGTTTCGTTTCAAAGACGGGAGGAGAGTAAATATTGAAGACTCTGCCATAATCCCGTTTTCTCCGGTTTTCCTCCGCTTTAATCTACACAACCGGAAATGGACGAGCATCCTTACGTCAAATGCGGAACTTATGCGTGCATATAGCCCATTTATACGCGAAAATGTGTTTTTACATGCTTAGGAAACGCACCGTGTGTAATATACGTTTGGTTAGGATTATGGCAAGCCAAGAGGTTCAGAATTACACCATAAATGAATCGCGTTTACGGCCAAACATAGTTATTAACATATAGTAAGGATATGGCTTATATTGCCTAATTGCAAGCTTGTTTCAGAAATGGTGACAACAATTTTTTTTCCATCATTATTGAACATCATTATATGAGTATTAGGTTGAATGAGTTAGAATTAAATGTTTTATTAATCATTAGAAAAAAGTCATTAAGAGAATCAATTATTATGCAAGTACTTTTACTTTTAATACTTAAAGTACATTTAAAATCAGGTACTTTTTACCTTTTACTTAAGTATGGTTGTCATTGTGTTACTTCTACTTTTACTGAAGTAAATATTTATCTGGTTATTTGTACTTTTACTTAAGTACTGATATTCAGTACTTCCTCCACCACTGCATTTGCATAATGCCAGCAAATGGTCTTTATTAGCTTTCTGCGAACGATGATGTCTACTTTGACCGTCAAACTCTGTAGTTGTAGCTGAGACTGGGTCGTGTTGATGTGTTCATGTCGAGAAGATGCTGTTTTCTGTGCTGCCAAAGCATGCTACAAAGCTTTGATGCACAATGATGAGGACTTGGGCTGGGATTAATACAATAAAACCAACACAAATATATGTTACTGTTCATATCACTGTGTATAAAGTGACGAGGAAGATGAAATTCAGATATGGTAATGAGCGTTTAGTTTCTGACACACTCTGTAAGCCTTCGACCAATACGCCTTATTCACGGCAGCGCCATCTTTGATTTTTAATGAGAATGAAAGTGAGGCTGTGAGGGATAGACTTGCATCTCTTCAATGGGCTGTACTGTTATTTAATGTGTTTTCGGATTGTTCTGCTCATGAAACACTGGAAAAATATCTTTCAAAGAAATGTCAGTTGACCAAAAACTCCCGACAATGTAAGCTGTGGAGAATTGTAAGTAATCTAGAAACACGGTAAGTCTATCCCTCACCGCCTCACTTTCATACCTGTCATGGCGCTGCTCTGAATAAGGTCTATTACAACAGACTGGGCAATCTGACCAATCAGAGCACAGTAGAACAATCACAAGTTCAACAGACTGGGCCATCTGACCAATCAGAGCAGAGTAGACCAATCACAACAGACTGGGCCATCTGACCAATCAGAGCAGATTATACTTGGTTTTCTGTTGCTAAACTACTTGCTGTAAAACACTGCACTGTCATTTGCAACAATACTTTAGTCAACATTTTAAAAATCAACTAAATAAATACTGAATTAATGTAATATTTAATCACACTTGCATCCATGTATCTTATTTATTTATTTTTTTGAGTGTCAAACTTCATTACTTTGAATAAACTGTAAATTCACAGTTCTGAAGATGTAAGTTACTCCACTTTTTTTTGGAAATAGGCTAATTTTACAACTCCCCCAGAGTTAAACAGTTGAGTTTTACCGTTTTCGGATCCATTCAGCTGATTTTCTGATATTTAGAAAAATATCAGTAACCAGACAGTTTCTGGTCTCATTGACTTCCATAGTAGGAAAAAAATATACTATGGTAGACAGTCAATGAGACCAGAAACTGTCTGGTTACTGATATTCTTCTAAATATCAGAAAATCGGCTGAATGGATCCGAAAACGGTAAAACTCAACCGTTTAACTCTGAGGGAGTGGTAAAATGAGCCTATTTCCAAAAAAAAAGTGGAGTATCCCTTTAACATATTTTAATGACATCACACTGTGTACAGCTCAACATGTCCACCAACCAACACAGTGACAAAACGTGCTTTCATAATCCACCGTATTACAGTTACAGATATACATAATCTAAAAATTTCCATTTGAGGCAGAGTTGTAAGTGGCCAATTATGGGACGGTGGTTCTGCAGTCCAATATTATCAGCTTTGAAAAGAAAGACATTCCAGAAGGGACAGTATATATATGAAATTAATTTGTCTTCCTTTCCTATATATTATAAATAATATTGTATTTATTTAAATGCATATTTAAACATTTATGATTAGGAGAGGTGACAAGCAATGTCCTCCTCTTCAAACTTCGGGAACGGCAAAACACACATCGCAGAGAATCACATTAACAACACACCATTATATAACTTGTTTCAATGAGATGGATGAGAACAAGAAGTTAGCCATGTTTACTCCTGCATCTGCCCAGGACAGACTGCGTCAGCTTAATGAACTGGCTGAAGAGGATGATGCTAAGGAAACTCTTGAAGCTCTCCTCTTTCTCTGTGATGCTAGCGTCCTTTTCCACCACCAAGAAATTGGGTTTTCGGATTTACCAAGCCCTCCAATCCGTCCGAGGAGGAATCCGGTAAACGTGTCTTCATCCAATATAACGGTGATTCATTTCCCCTGTCCAGGCATTACGGTGTTTTCTTATATTCGCTCAAATACAAGGACAGAATCAGAGGGTGAAATGTTTTCCTGTCCTGCAGGGGTCATATCATTCATGTCTCTTATTCAGAAACTTCTTTACTGATGATATCTGTTATGTAACAAAGATGAAAAATCTGAATCTGAACAGAGTGGTGTTATGATTTGGGCCAAATGACCAGATATGAGATACATTTAATTAATACTACATTTTTAATTGAAATCCAAAGATATCATGTGGTTCATAAATGCATGCTGTTCACACGAAAACAAAAAACAAAAACAAAACAGAAGCGGTTGTCAGTGTAAATGTTTACCGGAGCTTTCTTAATGGTTGGGGTCACTTCATAGACATTTTCCCTTTTTTTTTTTTTTTTTTTACAAAATATACAATTTCCTTCGCTTTTAGCATATGTGAGATCATTATACTATAAAGACTGAACTGAAAACTCCCTTGTTAGTCCAAAAACAGCTTTTATTGTAACCAAGCCCAGAGAACGAATCGTCCTGGACTCTGATAGATGATTAGTGAAAGAACGCCTCTGCAGGAGAAGATCAACACCTACTTCCTCATCGCAACTTTGGCCCCTCCCACTGGCGTGTGTAGATGCCGATGAGAGAAGAGCGATCATTAGACTAAAAATAACATTACCTTCCAATGGATCATAACGCAAAGAGTGTGGTTATTTATTTTCAACTATGTGAATGTCTTGGTTGAGCATTATTTATTTGTATTCGGTACATTTCACTGTGGTTTCTTTGGTAAATCAGTCACAATTTCGGTGCAGACTTGATAGTAAAGCCACAACTTGTAAGTAACAGTGTTATTTCTAATGCCTGATCTGTGACCAGTGATTTTGGATATGTAATGGTACTTTGTTCTTTGTCTATGTGCCAGTAAATCAAACCAGTGACTAAACGGTCAACTTCACATTGTTTTCTTAGCAGGATGAAAATAATAATTTAAACTGTGATTTAGTTATAAATAGAAAGCGATCAAAGAACGCTCCCTTTACAATCGCTGGAGCTGTCAATCAAACAGAGAGATTTATCAGTTTATCAGTGACTCTCGTTAAAACTCCCGCTATAACAAAGTCCATTTATATCTATTTTATCACAGTTAGTTATGATGAAAGCCTTCGTTAGTGTTCAGAAATCGAGTTGCAATGACAAGATCTAATGCCAAAATATAACGAAATATAATGCCACCATCTAAATATAATGCCACAGATCTAAATGTAATGTTATAAGCAACACTTCACACGACACGAGTAACCTTGAGAGTTTAATATTCCCTGTTTAATATTCCCAATTTCCCTGTTGCCCTTTTCAGCCTTGCGGAGGTATACAATTTTGTCTCTAGTGTCTTTGGACAGCTCTTTGGTCTTGGACATGTTAGTAGTTGGATTCTTACTGATTGTATGGGGTGGACAGGTGACAGGTGTAGCTAACGACCTCAAACAGGTGCATCTAATTTAGGATAATAAATGGAGTGGAGGAGGACATTTTTAAGGCAGACTAACGCTGCGTTCCAATTCGCATACTACCCGTCCAAAATAGTATTCGAAAATAGAATTAGTACGTCCCAAACCGTAGTATGTTGAAATGAGTGTTTCAAAGACACCCGGATGGTCTACTATTTCCAGTCAGAATCTTAAGTGTAGATCGATGCACACTCTAACGGCTGACATTGCCCACAAACCATTGCGCGGTGGACGAGGATTCGGTTAGAACTACAAACACGAGTAAAAAGTGTTAAAAAAAACTACAGACACAGAGGACGCACGAGTCCTGCGGCTGTGTAGAGAGGTTTAGATAAAGAGGTTTTGGTGATTAATTATCAGTATCTAACCTGACGAAAATGAATTTATTCAATGTTGTCCAACCTTATATTGCAAATGCAGCAGCATTGTGAACTTTTGTAAAGATTAGCCATTACTTTTTAAATGCATCATTATATTAAAACAGCAAACACAAGGAGAGTCTTTGGCTCCCTTCACCCTTCATGGCTCGGTTTACTTCCCGGCAGTTTTCCACCCTGTCAAGGGTTCCCCCCTTTCCAAGCCTTTGGATAAAATCAGACGCAGAAGACTCGATCAGCCCAGGGTTCTGATCAACGTCCCTAACTAGATCAGCAATGGCCCACAGCTCATTCGCACCTTCTGATTCGCCCACCCTACTGATCGCTTCCCTTAACCTGTCTTTAACCAGGTTCGGTGGGGACTGTGGAATGACCGGGTAGGCCTGCGTGGGGGCTATGTCTCCATTGCCTTCCGCAGCCGTACTGGGACCACTTGCCAACTCTTTCGGCTGCTCAGCCGTCTTACCATTCCCAAGCTCCTTCGCTATGAGCTTTTTTTAGCCACATGATTGGGTTCCCCTGCGAACCTTAGTGACAACTCAATCAAGGTCTTGACTTGAATTTTGTTGCTTTGTAATTCCGTCCTTTCGCCCGTGCATCCCCTGCCTTTCCCGTATTCCATTCGGGATGATCCGCATGAAAGACCCACGACTGGCAGATGAACGTGCTCTAAAACTACTCACAGCTCTTGAATGAACAGCTCTTGAACTTTTTCTATGTGAATATATTTTAAAATGTCAATTATTCCTGTGACTAAAGCTGAATGTGCCACATTCACACTGTAAAGACTCCATTAAATATTACAGCGACAAAATTAAAAACTAAAGCGTCTTGTTCTGCTTGTGCTTGTAAAGGCGGCGTCACAACTCAAGCAGTGTTGCCATGTCCACTTATTATATGCGTTTTTGGGCTTGTCGTTTCAGCTTGGATCATAAAGCGATCGAGTTTATGGAGTTATGAAAGTGAGCAGGTGCGGGTCGGGATATTTTGGTCTTATTTTCAGCATAAAGCATTTGGATTTATTGCGGTTTATTGTGGGTTTGTTCTTGTTCGCTGTTTTTTTTTTTTTTAGAAAGATTTGGCTCCCCAAATGAGTCGAGGCTCATACAGCTTTAGTTGTTCAGCTCGATTCTGAACACACTACGAAGTAGTGCTACTAAATAGTAGTACTACAACACTGCTGCTGTTACTACCTGCATTTTCAATAGTCAATTTGGTAGTTTCCAGAACAGGATTAATCAGTGTTTAAAGCTTAAAGGAGCTGTATGTAAGAAATTGATTTCAAATAATCATAAATTTTCCCTGATATGTCACTAGACATTAAGAAATCATTTTCATTTCAAATACGTATATCACTGACAACAGTAGTCCTGCCAGGATATTGTCATTTAAACAGTGAAGTTGCAGCCCTAAACTGATGTTGATGTTGTCATGTTATGTTTTGGTCTGATGCGTCACCCTCCACCGATCTACCAATCACAAAGTCAGTAGTGTTGCAGCATTCGGGTTGCCAGCTCTGCTCTAGTTACCAAAGCTGCAGCTACAAAAGTGTCGGATAAAAAAATGTTGGATCCTGCAGCATATCTGGCAACCTCAAGTCAGGGGGGTAGGGGGGTACACCACTCTACAGTAATTTGAAAGTGATTGCAGTACCAGTTTTGGCCACAATCTGACATACGGCTCTGAACTTACAAACAAAATTTGCTGCAGTGTGTACATGGCCAATGATCAGAAATCATACAAATATGCTGTATGAAACATTTCAAAGTCTTATGAATGTTGAAAACAGTGGTGCTGATTCATATTTTTGTGGAAATTTCTAAAGAACAGCATTTATTGAAATGAAAATCTTTACTATGAATGCCTTTACTGTCATTTTTAAATAATTATTGTGTCTTCGCTGAATAAAAGTATTAATATTGGTGTATGTTGTTGACTTTTGTTTTCAGTAATCTCAATAAGAGTCAGCTGTGATTTCAGCGATGTCAGCGTTTTTCATTTCGTAACAGGATGGCTTACCTTTGTGTCTTCCTCTTTCCACAGAATCTCCTGTTCGGCCTCGTTCAGCTCCTCGGTCGGGTCGTACGTGTAGACCGGAAGCAGCTGATGCCGCAGTCGATCAATCCTAGACATGCACAGACATGCTCATTCAGCCCCAGTGTAGGTGTCTTCAGCATCAGCCTCAGACATGCTGCCTAATATCTACTGGTGTGCTTCACTGACGAACACCGTATGGGTTTACTCGGTTTTGAGTGAACTGCACTAGCGGTCACCAAGGTTGCATTTATTCCAAGAAAAAACTGTAACATTGTGAAATATTACTACAAAACTTGGTTCTAGTGATGCAAAGCTGTATTTTCAGCATCATTACTCTAGTCTTCAGTGTCACATGATCCTTCAGAAATCACTCTAATATGAGAATCTGATGCTCAAAAACATTTATTAATAATGTGGTAACACTTTACAGTAAGGTTTAGTTAAGAATGAACACTTCTTCCGCATTTATTAAGCTTAGTTAATATTCATTTCAACATTTACTAATACGTTATTAAAGGGATGGAAATAGGCTAATTTTACCACTCCCCCAGAGTTAAACAGTTGGGTTTTACCGTTTTCGAATCCATTCAGCCGATTTTCAGGTATTTAGAAGAATATCAGTAACCAGACCGTTTCTGGTCTCATTGACTACCATAGTAGGAAAAAAAATACACTATGGAAGTCAATGAGACCAGAAACTGTCTGGTTACTGATTTTCTTCTAAATATCTGAAAATCGGCTGAATGGATTCGAAAACGGTAAAACTCTTAACTGTTTAACTCTGGGGGAGTTGTAAAATGAGCCTATTTCCAAAAAAAGTGGAGTATCCCTTTAAAAGCAAAGGTTGTATTTGTTAGCATTAGTTACTGCACTGTGAACTAACATGAACAATGAACAACCAGATTTTTATTAACTAACATTAACAAAGATCAATAAATACTGTAACAAATGTATTGCTCATTGTTAGTTAATAGATTACCAACCTTATGAATGTTATTGTGAAGTGTTACCAATAATGTTGAAAACAGTTACACTGCTTCATAAGTGTGTGGAAACTGTAATACACTCAGTGGTGGAAAAAGTGCTGAAAAAAAGTTACTTCAGTAAAAGTAGAAGTAACACAATGACAACCATTCTTAAGTAAAAAGTACCTGATTTTAAATGTACTTTAAGTATTAAAAGTAAAAGTACTTTGTACTTGCATAATAATTGATTCTCTTAATGACTATTTTCTAAAGATTAATAAAACATTTAATTCTAACTCATTCAACCTAATACTCCTATAATGATGTTCAATAATGATGGAAAAAATTGCTGTCACCATTTCTGAAACAAGCTTGCAATTAGGCAATATACACATCATGCTTATCCTTACTATATGTTAATAACTATGTTTGGCAGTAAACGCGATTAATTTATGGTGTAATTCTGAACCTCTTGGCTTGCCATAATCCAAACCAAACGTATATTACACACGGTGTGTTTCCTATGCACGTAAAAACTAATTTTCGCGTATAAATTGCAGGATAAACACACTGCGTGCGAGATGCATTTAGTTGATGTATCTATGGCAACCAAACATCACTGGTGAGACAAACGTGCAACGGACGGACGGTCAGATTACGTTTTGGCGGGGGAAAAACTGATCAGAAAATGTAATGAAAATGTAACAGAAGTTGTAGAAATGTAGTGGAGTAGAAAGTAGAATAATTGCTGCAAAATGTAACGAAGTAAAAGTAAAAATTATGCACTATTTATTCTACTTAAGTAAAGTAAAGATATGTGAAAAATGTACTTAAGTAAAGTAACAAAGTATTTGTACTTCGTTACATTCCACCACTGAATACACTGTCATTCAACAGTGAGAAACATTTCAAACAATCAGCAGGGAGGCATTTAATTGATCAAAACTGACAGTAAAGACATTTATAATGTTAAAAACGATTTCAAATAAGGTCTGTTCTTTTGAACTTTCTATTCATCAGAGAATGTATCACTGTTTCCATAAAAAGATATTAAGCTAAAAAAAACTGTTTTCAACATTGATAAACATAAGAACCATTAATTATATTTGAGCGCCAATAATAACTGAGCAGCAAACCTAGACTGATTTCTAAATAAAATAAAGATGATTGTATTCAGAGTAAAATAAATAAAATATAATACATATTAATTATTAAATATTATCTAATACTTTCTAATACTAACTTGCTGTAGCGACTAATATATAAATATATATATACCCACTGAAAACTGGGATTCAGATGTATCTATACACCCTGATGTATCTAAACCCTGACCCCAACTTGTGGAGTTTGTAAAAATAGGTTTTCTTTGATTAATAATTCTAAATTTACAACTTATTCAATATAGGACTATGAAAACATAATCACACGATGGCACAATAACCTCATTAGCTCTACTGTTCATCTGTTCAAAATGACTGCTCTGAGATTACAGAGACACTGTGCATTGTTCTTAAGATTAAAATACCGTTCTCCCCTTATGTGCTTATGAAGTGCACATTCAGAGACTGAAGCTACACCACATTACGTCAAATTAGTTTAAATATAAATCAATAGCTTTACTATTTGCCAAGAAAGCTATTCTTCAATATTGGAAAACATTACAATTAATAAATATTAATCTCAGGTTAAATGTAGTATTAGAACACATGGCCAGGGGAAAAAAAGACTACCGTAGAAAGAAAGAGTGCGAGTCGTTTACATGTTAAATAGTAGTTCACTTTAAAAAAAAAAAAACTTTTGTTAATAATTTACTCACCCCCATGTCATCCAAGATATCCATGTCATTCTTTCTTCAGTCGAAAAGAAATTAAGGTTTTTGATGAAAACATTCTAGGATTTGTTTCTCTTTTAATGGACTTGAATGGGAACCAAACGGTTTAAGGTCCAAAAGACACTTTCAGTGCAAACTGCAAACTGTTGAAAGGGCTTTAAACGATTCCAGACGATGAATAAGGGTCTTATTAAGCGAAACGATCGCTCATTTAATAAATAAATAACTTTAAGTTTTATAAGCTCAAATGCTCGCCTTGCTCTGTTCTGTGATGAGCGTTCTGACTAACTTGTTCATCAAAACGAACGAATCTTTTTCTGAGTCAATTCGTTCATTTTGTTCGTTGAATGAATCAAATGACTCAAAACCAAAAAAGATTTGTTCATTTTGATGAACGAGTTCGAACAGGAGAGTCACGAACGCTCATCACAGAACAGAGCAAGGCGAGCATTTGAGCTTATAAAACTTAAAGTTATTTATTTTTTTAAATGAGCGATGGTTTCGCTTGATAAGACCCTTATTCATCGTCTGGAATCGTTTAAAGCCTTTTGAACAGTTTGCAGTTTGTACTGAAAGTGTCTTTTGTATCTTGAACCATTTGGTTCCCAATGAAGTCCATTATATGGAGAAAAATCCTGGAATGTTTTCATCAAAACCTTAATTTCTTTCCGACTGAAGAAAGATGACATGGATATCTTGGATGACATGGAGGTGAGTAAATTATCAGCAAAAGTTTTTTTAAAAGTGAACTACTCCTTAAATACTTTATTTTGAAAAGTGTACATCTGGAGCGGAAAGCGAAGTCAGATTTTGCATGCGTTGGTTTTCACACGCGGCGGTTCAGAGAAAAAGATGTGGGAGTATTTTTTGAAAGCCTACCCAAAAGGTTTCCGCTTTCTTCTATGTTGTGTGAAACTAGTAATAATTAAGCTTGTTTATAGGCTTGTTATACTACCGGTTATGAAATATTACATCAGAATTAGGGATGGCTCGATACCACAATTTTGGCTTCGGTACGATACCAGAACCTAATACCTCGGTATCGATACTAAATCGATACCACAGTCTGAAAAAAAAGAGTCTAAATTTAAGTGAATTGAAACAATTTTATTAAACACTGCTTGAAACTCTCAACTACCATATATGCAAAGAAAAGTATCCCAAAAAAAAAAAAAAACGTATCAAAATTTTAAAAATAAAATTATGTGTAGGTAAAATTTTGATTTGGGAAAACCACTGATATTACACAATTAAAATAGGTTAATATAATAGATTAACATAATAGAATAATGAAATGACGGTAACCATTAGCTGTCATGCATCAACAGAGAATTATCAACATTTATTGCATTTATTCATCTTGGTTTGGTTACTGTTTGTGTTTGGGCTCATATTATGCATATAATGCATTGCAAAAAGTAATGTTATGATGCTAACCATATATTAGGATATTACATTTTTAGGTCATTTTATTACTGATTGATCTAGATTAATCAATGCTATATTGTTAGGCCAGGTTCCTTAATGAATGTTGACAAATGTAGCTTAATTGTAGGCTAATATTATTCATATTTATATTACTACCCTCTCTCTCTCTCTCTCTCTCTCTCTCTCTCTCTCTCTCTCTCTCTCTATCGCCACAGCCCCAGTAATGCCATTCATTTATCACTTTTATGCTTTATTAATTTAAATTAAATGAATATATTTGTTTGAAATAAATTGCAAAAATGAGATCATGAGACGTAAACTGAGATCATAAGACGTAAACTGAATTGGTATAGCGTGTCATGCAAGAAGATTTGAGCTTTCGTGTTTACCATATCATATTTAATTGATAAGCTCTTAGGTATGTGCGCTGTTCAGTGTTCAATAAAAGTCTAAATTAAATCAGTTGAATGATGAACTCACCACTCGATCTCTTGAACAAGTCAGGATGAGCAACTGACGAGCGCTTCGGCAGATTTGATGTGTTGCCTTCCATGGCAACACATTATTGAAAGCAAAGTTTGCAGAGTGGTTCATTGAGGTCTGTGTCTACACTATTCTCATTACTTTAGTAGGCAAAGTAATGCCTTATTTCACTAATACTGCTCTCTCTATTTAATAATTTCGGGCGTGTAAAAACCCGAATGAGCTTTATTCCACCGTGTTCCTTCGTTTGCCAGTTTCGCGTGACTTGCGTCAGTTTCGGTAGCGCACTGCCGCCTAGTGGAGAACTTCGGAAAAGCAGCTCATCAAATACCGAATTTAACAAAATGATGATATTGTACCGTTTTAAATTAATTATATACCGGTATTTTTGCAATACCGGTATACCGCGCATCCCTAATCAGAATAAAGCAGAAACACTATGAATGAAACACCTGACCAGTTGATATATCAACATCCTAACCAAGAGAATCCACTTAACTAGTCCATTGCAAACCTTACGTTTAAACGGTAATGAAGTTAGTACATTTAGATACACCTGCTATATAGTAAAATTAATTTAAGGCATGACTTGTATTTTAGGTATTCATTTTTTGAATTTTTGAGTGTGTAAATTCCAGATTACATTGAGTTCTGCTTTTTTCTTGTTTTCTTGTTGTCCTTTTCTCTTTCTCCTCATATTGTATTGTTGTAAAATAAAAAAGAGAATGATTTCTGAAGGATCATGTGACACTGAAGACTAGAATAATAAACCAAACAAACAGGAATAAATGATATTTTACAACATATTAAACATATGCTTTGGAAAATATGACTTAAAACATATTGCTTAGTTGGGGGCATTTAATTTAATATTCAACAATGTTATTAATCTGTCTGCATTGACACCATTATTTGAGAACTGAACTGAGCTGGACAGTTTCAATTAACTAAATTAATAACGTTTTTGCAACAGATATGAACCAAATAACCTTACTTAAGCTGGACTGTGACGCTATCTTCTTTTGGAAACAAACTTTGTTGGATTATTTTCCTGTAATCTCTGTAAAGCTGCTTTGAAACAATGTGTATAGTAAATAATATTTCACAATATTACTGTTTTACTGTATTTTTGATCAAATAAATGCAGCCTTGATGAGCAGAAACAAGTTCTATCAAAAAAAAAACATTCCTCTAATGCTTTCCAGGAGCGCTGGAGTGTGTTTACTTACCTCCGTTTCCTCCTTATGTACATCACCTATGAAACAAAAAGTTACATTATTATTTCCTAGAAGCAATGCCTGGAAAGCACATTGAATAATGTCTGTAATAATCGTCTGCGCACGCACACTTTTGTTTTAACCCAATTTTGGGTCAGATACGGACAAACCCAGCCGTTGGGTTAATTTTTTTATTACATTTTTAACCCAAAGTTGTCTATATTTGACCCAAAATTGAGTTAAAACAACCCAGCATTTTCTTTTTAGAGTGCATTCATAACAGAATAAAGGGCTTTTGTCTTTCTGGATGATCTGCTCAATCAGACTATCATGCGCTTCCCCTTCTCTCCCAGCACAAGCATGCAGACGTGTGTTATCCGGCACCCACCACTGCTGCCAGGACCCCGATCACAGTGAGGAGGAAGAAGGGCACGAGCACGTAGCTGACGGCCACATCTCCACCGCCGCCGTGAGGAGGAGGAGGAGTGGTGCTGTTCATGCTGAGGCCTTCACTGCTCATCTCCTGCACACATGTGACTCCCACATGCTCCCTCGGCCCCGGGAACCACTGGGAAACACAAGAGAATGACTTATTCATGGACGAGGAATGCGGGGAAAGAGCTGAAGGGCCTTCATCATGTCATTTCAAACTTGTTTGCGCTTCATCTTTTAGCTAGATCAGTCATATTTGAAAGTTTCTTTAATCGGGCCAATAAACATTCCCTTTTGCAACACTGATGGGGGTAACGTTTACTCCAACATCGAAGGGGAAAAAGTGTATTTAGCGATATTTTAAGATACAATTATATAGCCTGATTTAGATCCATGTTTCCCCCCATTGTGCCAACGACAATTCCCTTGTGTCTGAATGTTTTATAGGGGTTTTCCTTCCTAATTTCCTTGAAGATTTTTGCTGTCTCTTCATTTTTCTCATAACTGTAATACAGCAAACATATGAAGAGTTCAGATGCAAACGCCTCTAAGTGCCATTTGAAATTTTCTTCTTTAATGATGATTTTTATCAAACTTGTATATTTAAGTTTAGTAATTTCACTTAAATAACAATTAATAGGTAATTATCATTGCCATTTAAGTGAAATTACTGAACTTAAATATACAAGTTTGATAAAAATCATCATTAAAGAAGAAAATTTCAAATGGCATTTAGAGGCTTTTGCATCTGAACTCTTATATTGTTGTTGTTGTTATTATTGCTATTTAAATCAGCGTATAAAGGCAGTACAACAAATTCTACCATAATGCAAGTATAATACACCATTGCAGGGCATTTGGCATTAATTTTGTATTGTTATGCTGTGTTTTTGAAGTACTCTTTAACGTATCATGTCACACTTTGATATAAGAATATAGTGTAGTCTATAACATGTGTGAATAGTCCAAACAGCCTTTCTAAAGCTAGGGAAATGCCAAATAGAGCCGTTGGCATCTTTTAATACCACACAATCTGCATAACGCACAACTTCTCTCTATTTAGGGAAGTGTAACATTTGGATTTGATACAAAGCGTCCAGCAGAAGACTGCTTTAATACACATTTTACAATGACAAAGCGTTTATGTCGCACATGACTTTACGGAAAAACTACGCATTCACTGACATGAACTGCTCTCGTTTGTTTACATAACGGTAGTTGCATTATTACGGTTACCAGCACTGATATCATCAATGACGCGTTAATTATGAGCGGTCATAATAATAACACTGGTGTCTCTGCTGACTCACGTGAAAACATCATGACCAGTCAAACTTCACCATCGAGGCATTAAAGTGTACACACCAGATTCAGTCAAAAGAGCAGAGTGAGTGTCACTTAACTATAAGACGACTCCAAATCCAGTTATTATAACACAAGTCATGGGTTGTCTGACACTAAACCTCCACCGGCAGTGTTTACGGAAAGCAAGTCCTGCGATGAGAAGGAAACGATTGATGATGGTACTGGAGGGAGGAGTTATGAGTTATTCAATTCACGATATTCATCAGCAGATGTCGCCACTGCATTAAATCACACTACTGCATCATATCCACCTCATTATATTATGTCATATATCATGTCATGTTATGTCATATCATGTCATAAAGGTTAATACAGGAGAAACCAATGCTATATGCTATTCTATAACTGATATTCTTTTGTAACTATTTTATTTGCATGTTTAAGAATTGGATAAATTATTTTTTAAGCTGTAGCACCGCTCTATTTACATTTGTGTATGTTTTTTTTTTTTTTTGCAATAATATTAGTAGATTTGTTTAAAATACTTGCAACAATACTTTTAACTTATGAAACCTTGACGTAAACAAAATAGCTTATAAACCACACCTACCAAAGACACGCCAGCTAATCTGATGTCAGCAATTCCAAACGCCCAAAGTGATTGACAAGCTAAGTACGTTCTCCGATTGGCTGAAAAGTGCGGGCCACCCACTTACTTTATTTCCCAAAGGTTTCAGTGAGCTGTCAAGTTATATAGATATTATATTCCTGGCACAATTATATAATAACACTAAATGAATAAATATAATGGTAGAAAAATCACCGTGACATTACGGTAATGTCACGTGCGCTCTAAACCAGTTCCACCCATGTTTCCACCTCTACTGCGCAACCTTATATTCACAAACAGGAAACGCTCTTTGGGGTTGTGCTTATGCTACGCAGTTTACGCAGAACTCAGAGTAATGGCGTCTGTGCGACGACTCCAGCTCACAAGACTCACAAAATGAAGCGACGGAGGGAATATTCGTGTTAGCAGAAGGCCTTTAGAGGGGTTTGTGGCTGCCGGACTGCATTGAGAGGCGCAGAGCTGACAGGAGTTAAGGACTTTCATCGGTTCAGCACGATGATAAAGCACAAGTCCAACCAGACGCGCACGTATGACAGAGATGGCTATAAAAAGCGCGCGGCCTGCCTGTGCTTCAGGAACGAGCGCGAGGAGGAGGTGACGCACGCCCGCCCGCCCGCAATCACTGCGTCTTTACCTTTACTTCAACAAATACATTAACTCTAAACAAAATCAACGTATACGTTTAGCAGTGTGTAGGTGTTAGAAGTAAAGTTGTACGTGTGTATTGTGATGAATGTGTGTATTGTTCGACCACAATGATATCGGCTCATATCTGTTTTTTGGTTTCGATAGTCTTTTTCTGTAAGTTAGTAAAACCATGTTTAACGGTAACGTTACTAGAATTTCCCCCAGTATAATAATACGGTGTTTGCTAATACTGTAAAGGCATGCATTACTGTGATATCTCCCTCAAATTGTTGCTAAAAAGTGGGGTTAACATGATCTTTTGGACATTTCTCATGTGGTTAAGTTAATCTCACACGTTTAAACCATCTTGAAGCACAATGTAAATATCAAATACACACTAGTGCACGAATGAATGTAAGTTATATATATATGAATCTTATACCTTCACTGTACCATAGTTTAGTAGTTTATTATGATGACCACTGCCTATTTTTATGACCATGTTAGCTAATACCAGGAAACAACAGCTGGAGTAACAAGCTCAAAAGTAGCTATATTATTAGTATTTAATAAAGTTGAATATGGAACATTTAGTGTTACATAATGTTGATTTTTTTTTCCATGTTAAAAGATTCCAGAGTTCAAACTCACTGTTTGTTATCACTATCAGTTGTATTAATTTAAGTTTCCATAGCCTGTAACCATTATTCACTAAATGCAGTATAATTGTGTCAGTGATTTTGTTAGCCTAGCCCTAGACCAAAGCGCTGAAAGGAGTAGTTCACTTTTAAAAAAAAAAAAAACTTTTGCTGATAATTTACTCACCCCCATGTCATCCAAGATGTCCATGTCTTTCTTTCTTCAGTCGAAAAGAAATTAAGGTTTTTGATGAAAACATTCCAGGATTTTCTCCATATAATGGACTTCAATGGGAACTAAATGGTTCAGGGTCCAAATGAGAGTTTCACTGCAGCTTCAAAGGTCTTTAAACAACACCAGATGATGAATAAGGGTCTTATTTAGCGAAACAATCAGTCATTTAAAAAATAAATAAAAGAGTTTAAGTTTTATAAGCACAAATGGTCGCCTTGCTCTGTTCTGTGATGCGCGTTCGTGACTGAACAAATCTATTTTCGAGTCATGACTCGAAGGGTCCTAGATAAAACCCTTCATCTGTTGTTTAAAGCCCTTTGAAGCTGCACTGAAGCTCTCATTTGGACCTTGAACCGTTTGGTTCCCAATGAAGTCCATTATATGGAGAAAATACTGGAATGTTTTCATCAAAAACCTTAATTTCTTTTCGACTGAAGAAAGAAAGACATGGACATCTTGGATGACACGGGGTTGAGTAAATTATCAGCAAAAGTTTTTTTTTAAAAGTGAACTACTCCTTTAAACTCTGAAACACAGCATATGTTAGAAGTAAAAACAGTTATGACTGGTTTCATGTTGACTTTAAAGTTGCCTCTGCACATTACACCAGGATAGGAGGAGGAGAGAGTGTTAGTGTGGTACGCCGTGATGTCTGATCATTGATCCGCATGTCTCTGACGGTGTGTGTGTGTGTGTGTGTGTGTGTGTCAGGTGCTGTTGGTGAGCAGCAGCAGTCATCCCGACTGCTGGATCGTTCCCGGAGGAGGGATGGAGCCGGAGGAGGAGCCCGGTGTCGCTGCTGTCAGGGAGGTGTGTGAAGAGGTGGGCTTTCCTGCTTTAAAACACGTATTTAATGTGCTTATTACTGTGATGATGGACTCGTGTGAAATCCAGGAGAATCACTCCAAGAATCGGTTCTAGGGTCGCACTAGCCAGGTTGTACAAAATTGTGTAATGTTAATCCAAGTTTGTTCATTATGCATAGTGTTTATTTATACAACGGAAATTAATTAGATGCATTAAAAGATTAATAAATGCCGTAAAAGTATTGCTTCACATTCCAGTGCATCGACTAATGTTTGCTAAAGGCGCTTTTCCACTGCATAGTACGGTACGGTTCGGTACGGCTCACTTGTGGTGCTTTTCCACTGCATGGTACGGTACAGTACGGTTCGCTTCAGGTCGCTTTAAATGGTACCTGGTCTGTTGAGGTTCCAAGCGTACCGTACCGGTACTAAAATGTGACGTGAAACACTGCAGATCACTGATTGGTCAGACAGAATCGTCACTACCACCGTCACTACTAGCGTCATTGGATTTGCGACACGAGACACGAGACACTTTTTTAGCAGTATTTTTGTTTTGCTGCCATCAGCCTCATTTTAAACACATTTTTCCATCTAGCAGTTAAAAACAACCACATACCGAGAATCAGGAACACCATCCCCTCGATAGTCTCCATTGTTCCTGTGTTGTGGGTTTGAAAATGTGGCGCTTTTAAGATGATGTCATGGCAGTAGAGGCGCGCGCAAATAACGATCAGTCCCACACACTTTGAAGGGGTACTACTGCAGTGGAAACGCAAAGCGAGCCGAACTGTTCCGCGCCGAGTCGAAGCGTACTGAGCCGAACCGTACCGTACTGTGCAGTGGAAAAGCGCCATTAGTGAACTTCACTGTAAGTATTATCATTTAAATGCTCTATTCCTTTTTTACAGTTCCCTGACTGTTACATCTGCATCATTAAGGCCCGTACACACCGGGACGAATATCAGCGCGCGTTATTCGTCAGCGTTTTTCAACACGTTTTTTGTGTTCACACCCAAGCGTTTTTCGCTGACGATGAGCCGAGTGAACATGCAAATTCATTCCCTGACATTAGATGGCGCTTAAAGGGTTAGTTCACCCAAAAATGAAAATTAAGTCATTAATTACTCACCCCCATGCTGTACCAACCCCGTAAGACATTCGTTCATCTTCGGAACACAAATAAAGATATTTTTGATTGAATCTGAGGGCTGGATCACTTTTCCATAGACAGCCTGAGGGACTGCCTCTTGACGGCCCAGAAAGTCATTAAAAGAAAAGGTTTAAATATTCCATGTGCCTACAGTGGCTCAACTATAACTTTATCAAGCGACGAGACTACTTTTTGTGTGAAAAAAAAAACGTAAATAACGACTTTATTCGACTTTCCATTACTTCCTTATGGGCGCATGCGCGAGAACTGAGACGAGACCGTTCTTCTTCGACTACTTCTTGTTACCGGCTGCTCACCGCTTAGGAGTTTTACCGCCCCCTACCGTATAAGATGACGTACTGATATAGCCGGAGGCGCAAAACGTTCTGTTTACAAGCAGTACGTCATCTTATACGGTAGGGGGCGGTAAAACTCCTAAGCGGTGAGCAGCCGGTAACAAAAAGTAGTCGAAGAAGAACGGTCTCGTCTTAGTTCTCGCGCATGCGCCCATAAGGAAGTAATGGAAAGTCGAATAAAGTCGTTATTTACGTTTTTTTTTCGCACAAAAAGTAGTCTCGTCGCTTGATAAAGTTATAGTTGAGCCACTGTAGGCACATGGAATATTTAAACCTTTTCTTTTAATGACTTTCTGGGCCGTCAAGAGGCAGTCCCTCAGGCTGTCTATGGAAAAGTGATCCAGCCCTCAGATTCAATCAAAAATATCTTTATTTGTGTTCCGAAGATGAACGAATGTCTTACGGGGTTGGTACAGCATGGGGGTGAGTAATTAATGACTTAATTTTCATTTTTGGGTGAACTAACCCTTTAATGTAAAACCGAAATAATAATAGAATACTATACTAGGGTGATCATATTCATGTCTCAATGTTTTATTATGACAGATAGAAAAAAAACGAATAAAATAATGATAGAAATAATGTCTTCTGTATTAGAAAAATAAATATATAAATAATAAATAACTAAAAAAAATGCCTCCAAATGTAGGCCTAACAAAAAATAGCTCTCACAAACTTACAAAAACGAACTAACAAAATCTATTTATATCTTTAGTTTTCATCCTCTTTATCTTGTTTTTCTTCCTCGTCCACCTTGTTTGTCCATCTATATTTTGCTGTAGAACTGATCTTTCCCAGCAGTTTTTGTTTGAAAACCAGGACATTTTCATCACTTAAAAACAGCCAGGACAGGACGTGGAAACAGGACATGTGTAACGCAAAGTTGAGATGTTGCCCAGAGATAAACATAGCACTAGTTGTCGGATGAACAGATGCACGAGAGACGAGAGTTGTCGTATTTCCCCGCGTTTAATAAAACCACTCAAACACTCGTCCTCCTCGTATGGGGATCGAGTGAGAAAAAAACCACAAACAAACATCTGGTCACAATAGAAAAATAAAATAAAAGAAAGAATACAAAGAGTCGGCAGAGCGGTTATCTCCTCTCCTCACTTGTCAAAATCTAACTGACACTATGCACACTATGCGCAGTTCTCATCTCAACTCAGATTTCTATAAAGCACAAAGTGACCGTTTTACACATGTCCCGGGAAAACAGGACTGTTGGTCACCCTATACTATACTATTATTACAGAAATACTAATATAAATATTATCATATAGCTCTTTATGCTCCGAGACCAGCAGCTCAACATTCATCTTGCCCATAGGTATCTTATCTCTTCTTCGCCGCGTATGTGTGCTCGGCAAGACCGTTTTGTGTTTGAGCGCCCTCAAGTTGTGTTTTACTGTAACTTCAGAAGTATAAGACCTTCGTTCGTCTTCGGAACACAAATGAAGATATTTTTGATTAAATTTGAGAGCTGTATAACTACCACATTGGCTCCTAAGGGACTGCCTCTTGACGGCCCAGAAAGTCAATGAAGAAAATGTTTAAATATCCCAAGTGACTACCGTGGCTCAACTATATGTTTATCAAGCGACGCGACTACTTTTTGTGCGAAAAAACAAACAAAAATAACGAGTTTATTCGACTATTTCTTTTCTTCCTTGTAGGCCAGAACGAGACTTCCTTAGATTTCCACGACGCATGCGTGAGAATTGCGATCTGCTTACACCAGCTTACACTACTTCAGATCGCAATTCTCGCGCATGCGTCGTGGAAATCTAAGGAAGTCTCGTTCTGGCCTACAAGGAAGAAAAGAAATAGTCGAATAAACTCGTTATTTTTGTTTGTTTTTTCGCACAAAAAGTATTCGCGTCGCTTGATACACATATAGTTGAGCCACGGTAGTCACTTGGGATATTTAAACATTTTCTTCATTGACTTTCTGGGCCGTCAAGAGGCAGTCCTTTAGGAGCCAATGTGGTAGTTATACAGCTCTCAAATTTAATCAAAAATATCTTCATTTGTGTTCCGAAGACGAACGAAGGTCTTACGGGGTTGGTACAGCATGGGGGTGAGTAATTAATGACTTAATTTTCATTTTTGGGTGAACTAACCCTTTAATTCGCGCGTCAAGAGCGAAACTGACGCGGGTAAAATAAAAAGTTTGAAGCGAAATTTGCGCGCGTCAAAACCGAAACCCGTTGACGGCCATCTTTGTTTATGTTGATCGAGCATTCATCGAGAGATTCACCGCACTGTATTTGCTCTGGAGAGCTAGAACAGTGGCGTGGGGATCATCGTCGCCGTATTTGTATCCACCGGACCCTTCGGAGGCGAACCGTTTTGCTAGTTTCACCATTTAATATACAGTTCATTTCTGTCACTGCTGTGAACTGACCATCGCATGGATTAAAAATAATAATAACCATCTTCATGAGTCAGCTCCACAACAGCCTTAAACCAGCCACTGTACCCGCACAAACACACACGGCAAAATATCATCTAATTATTATCATCAACAAAATCTTTGAAAATACAGATCATTTTTTTGTCAATAGAGGGAATGCGTTGATGTCACTTTCCCGCCGGAAGCCTGACTGAGTGGCAAAAGATCTGCTGCGTGACTGGATTTAATAAGGGAAACTGCAAAAATGCGACTAAAACAAACAATTTTAACAATTTTATCAATTTAAACTAAATGTTGGACTCAATATAGTGTTCCTTACAACTTAGTAAAGATCCAGTGATCCATGGATATTGACATGCAGCCAGGAATCGTGTTTCCTGACATTTCTGTTTGCCTGATTTCGACACCGGGGAAATAAAAGCAATATAGACCTAAACATAAAGCAAATTTGCCTGTGAACGCTTTATATAAATACAATATTGGTAGGTCTAAATCCGGGTGATCATTTAAATCCGTGTTATATATAGCCTATACACCTTATTCGCCGGCAGCCCCATCTTTGATTTTTAATGAGAATGAAAGCGAGGCTGTGAGGGATAGACTTGCATCTCTTCAATGGGCTGTACTGTTATTTAATGTGTTTTCGGATTGTTCCGCTCATGAAACACTGGAAAAATATCTTTCCAAGAAATTTTAGTTGATGAAAAACTCCTGACAATGTAAGCTGTGGAAAATTGTAAGTAATCTAGGAGCTTTTTACAGCGGATGCCATTGGAAACACGGTAAGTCTATCCCTCACAGCCTCACTTTCATACCTGCCATGGCGCTGCTCTGAATAAGGTCTATATACATCATCATATCATCCGGCCATAAAACTTTATTTTTTTTTTTTTGGTCAGTGTTTATTAAAAAACATCCAATAATGCAGAATATGCAATGATAAATATTTAATTGATGAGTTGTTAATATATATAACAATACAAAAGATCTGGGTATGGTTTTACAGCTAAATTCAGCATATTGACACAAAATGATGACTGCAAATCCACCTTTCGCTGACGAGTCCAGTTGTTTCTGTGAATTGATCCATTTGCTCCTCTTTCTATAGCAGTCTGTAAAAATCTACCTCCGATTTTTTTTTTTTTTTTTTTTTTTGGCAAATCTAGTTGTACAGTCAATCGCAAAGCTCTTTCTCACTTTATATGTGTTGTGTTTGTTTTTCGCGGCGTTCACGCTAAAAACATATACAGCCGCTCAGTTTTTTTGCCACTCACTGTGAGTAACTGCAGGCACTCCGGCCGACGGTGACGTCACGCGCATACCCTCTATATTGCACACCTCTAATGTACAATATAAAATTTTCCTTTTTCAGGTCTTAGAAAGGTCTTAAAGCCTTAAATTGCATGGTTATAACCCTTTTGTAAAGGGCAGAGTTCAGCATTTCACTCGACATGTTTCATTCCCACAGGCAGGAGTCAAGGGCACTCTAGGAAGATCGCTCGGCGTTTTTGAGGTGAGCTTTTCTGATGGCAAACAACATTCACAAACAAACTGTCAGTGGTGTCGAGAGTAAAGTCCTGATGTCTTGAGGATAATCTCATTGAAGGCATTTTACAAGAATAAAGTTTTGAGATTAGTAGTTATATTTAGTCAGGTTTTAGAAGTAAAAAGGTTGATAATAATGTTGCAGCATTATAGATTTTTATTATAATTAGAGCTGCAACAACTAATCAATAATAATCGATAAATAAATCAACAACAGATTTGATTATTGATTAATCCTGTCTGTATGTTATTAATGGAAAACATCCATCAGCCATGTGTAGTTATTCACAGTAGTGAAACTGAACATCTGAAAGATGATGTATTGCTCAGATCTGATTTCTTTGTATAGAAATTCACAGTTATTTCTACTCTGACAAATATTTCTTTTTAGACATTAAATGTCGTTTTCAAATTCTACATGTAAAAGAACAGTAGCAGTGATGGTAGTTACAGTAAAAGTGCTATTATCCAGTATAATTAACATAGTCTAGCTTTTGTTTCATTTTTTATTTTGTTATTTTAAGTCCTGCTTTAAATTGGTAAGCAATTAGTAATTTTTTTTTTTTTTTTTGGTTTGTATGGCTTTTGTAACACCTTTTTACACAATGTATAGCATGGCCTGCATTCACTATAGTTTCACTGCCTTCAAATTCCACATTTTTGGAAGGACACCATTGGGCAGGATGTGGAATAAAAATAAACAATGTTAGATTTTTTAAATAATTTGTAATTATTGGGTTTTTCATTGGATGAATCACGGAATTAATGAGCAGATTAATTGGTTAACAAACACTAGTTGAAGCTCTAATTTTAATGTCACTAAAACACTGTTGCATTTATTCCTGTGAGTGCAGTATTTTCTGTAAGGGGGGAACTTGTGCTGAAACGAGTTGTTTCTCTGCACAGAACCGAGACCGAAAGCACAGAACGCACGTCTACGTTCTCATCGTGACTGAGGTTATGGAGGACTGGGAGGACTCTGTGAATATTGGTAAGATTGAGAAACACTTGTAGGCTAGCTTGTGCGTTTACTGTATCACCGTAATTACCCGTTCCAGTTGGTAGACTCCCCAAAATCTGCTCTTGTTGGTCAAAACCGTAGTTATATAATTTAATTAGAAAATGGCAGCAACCTTATTTAGGTTGATTTTTAGATTAGTGCTGTCAACGTTAAATCGATACTCCACCGTTTTTTCATATTAAACTACGTTATTCCCTTGACTAAGACGAGTTGATGCATACCTCTCTCGTCTCAGTGCGTGCACTCAATCTCTGTGGCGCGCAAGACACTTTGATCGCACATAACTAGCCCAGTTCATTCAATATGGGCCAAGCAGAGAACGAAGGCTACCAAGCACTTGCTGTGGTATTCCGCCATACAATATAGTTATCCACTTTACACACTTAGAAAAGCGCAACGTTTTGTTTTGTGTCACCATCCTAGGTCGAGTTACACTACTCGTGTAACTGTATTTAAATAGGGAAAATGTGGAGGTGTTTGGTCGCTTCTCTGCTTGGCCCGTATTGAATGAACTGGGCTAATTGAGTGCTATCAAAGTGTCTCGCGCGCCACAGAGATTGAGTGCACGCACTGAGACGAGAGAGGTATGTATCAACTCGTCTTAGTTAAGGGAATAACATAGTTTAATATGAAAGAAACGGTGGAGTATCCCTTTAAAGGAGTAGTTCACTTAAAGGGATAGTTCACTTTGAAATTAATTTTTTAAATATGTTTTAGCTTACCTCAAGGGCATCCAAGATGTAGGTGTCCACAGTATTTTCAATTTTTTGAAAATTTTTTGGTCAAACCGGAGTTGTCTGTCAGTCATACACTGGAGGTGAAGGGGGTCCTCAATCGGTTCACCTCAAAGAGCATGCACAGAGAAGTCAAAATTAAACATGACTCGTACATGTAAGTACACATTGATGGCCTAAGACACGAAATGAGCGGTTTGTGTGAGAAAACGAACAGTATTTATATAATTTTATGTCTTGTAATCATAGCCATGACAAAATGATCTGACGGCACGGGCGCTTTGGTCTGCGCATGCGCTGGAAGTGATCGCTTGATCGCCGACGTCACTCTTTGTTTTTACAGAGACTTTGGAAGTTTTATCTTTCACTAAACATATTTAGATATACGGGAAACCGCAATGGAAGACGATTTCGGTATATCTAAATATGTTTGGTAAAAGGTAAAACTTCCGAAATCTCCGTGTAAATATTGAGTGACGTCACACGCAAGCGGTCACTTCCGGGCGTAACATTGAACTGATTCAGTTCGGTTCCGTTGGACATTGAACAACTGATTCAGATCACTTGGATTACACGAGGTAAAAACAAAACCGCTCGTTTCGTGTCTTAGGCCATCAATGTGTACTTACATTTACGAGTCATTAAATCATGTTTAATTTTGACTTCTCTGTGCATGCTTTTTGGTGGACCCCCTTTGCCTCTAGACAACAACGGTTTGACTGAAAAATGTCAAAATTGAATTTGAAAATACTGTGGAAACAAAGACACCTACATCTTGGATGCCCTTGAGGTAAGCTAAAACATATCAAAAATTAATTTCACAGTGAACTATCCCTTTAAGAATGAAAAATTCCTGATAATTGTCTTTCTTTCTTCAGTCGAAATTTAAGTTTTTGAGGAAAACATTCCAGGATTTTTCTCCATATAGTGAGTTCAATGGGGTCCAACGGATGAGAGTTTCAGTGCAGCTTCAAAGTCTCGACACGATCCCAGATGAGGAATAAGAGTCTGATCTTGACAAACCAGTGGCCATTTTCTTAAAAAAAAAGAACATTAATATACTTTTTAACCACAAATTTTCATCTTGGACCAGCTGTGATGGACACATTACGTGATCACGCTGAAAGGTCACGCAGGACGTAGGCGGAAGAACCAACCTAGTGTTTACAAAGCGACCGTGCAAAGACCAAGTCAAATGCTATTTACACCCTACTCTACATTTCTGAACCAGAACATGCGTGACCTTGTAATGTGTGCCGCATCACAGCTGGTTTAAAGTTTATAAATGTCTTTTTTTTTTTTTTTAGAAAATGACAGATCGTTTGGCTATTTAAGCTTTTAATAAGACTCTTATTCCTCGGCTGGGATTGTGTCGAGACACCCGCAACGCACAGAAAGACGCACGCCAGTATCAAGTTCTCTATCACGCTTGAACAAACAATAACGCACATAATTATGCCAAAAGGGCCATTTTGTAGAGTATCCTCATAAGAGCAGTCTTAAATAAAGTCTAATAAAGGGTTAGTTCACCCAAAAATGCAAATTCTGTCAGTATTTACTCACCCTCATGTTGTTCCAAACCTCTATGTGTTTATTTGTTCTGCTGCACACAAAGGAAGATATTTGGAAGAATGTTTTAATCAAACAGATCTCATTCCCCATTGACTTCCATAGTATGTTTTTCCTACTATGGAAGTCAATGGGGAATGAGATCTGTTTGATTAAAACATTCTTCCAAATATCTTCCTTTGTGTTCAGCAGAACAAATAAACACATAGAGGTTTGGAACAACATGAGGGTGAGTAAATACTGACAGAATTTGCATTTTTGGGTGAACTAACCCTTTAAATGAGCATAAAGAGATGCGTGTGAGATTCGCTCTGTCAGCTGGTCTTAAAGTAACAGCAGCCACTAATGCTGTCTGTCATTAATGTTAATCAGAGAACAAAGCTCACAGACAAATGCTCACTGCTCTTCTCTAAAGAACTTTTGTAGCTTTAATAAGGATTCATCTCTATGTGATTTATAGTTAATGTAGTGCAGACTGATTGATAACTTTATTCAATTTCTGTATTTTCTACCTGTTAGGTTGGATGGGCACAGGTAAATATGACTTATATGATTTATTATGGGTTTATGTGAGGTTTGTTTGAAGTTCACTTGCATTTAAAAGTTGTTATATTTTTTTAAGCCTAATAAATGTTTTAAAAAAATACACTAATGTTGAATGGCTATAATTAATGTTCGTGTAAAAATCTATTTCACGAGACATCAGAATCTGTATTAGTATCAGTGAAAGTGGCCTTCACTCATAAAACAATGCCGTTAATCAAGTGTTTAAAATATACAAATATTAAATATTGTCTAAAAATATTAAAAATAGACTTTACCATGTTTCTACATTCATTTGGAGATGAACTGAAATTCTTAAATTATGAAAAAAAAAAAAAGATTAATAATCACAGAAAAAAATGTATTTGTTCATCGATTGACAGCTCTAATTTACATATAACCAAGTTTGCAATTTAGTTTTTGCAAATGTGACCTAGTGCGGATTTATATATTTAGTGATAGAAACACACGATCGGCTCCGAGCACAATCTCAAAGTCGTCGTCTACTTCCAGACACACCGTGAATGCAGATTGTGTGTTGTGTTTTGTCCACAGGCAGGAAAAGGGAGTGGTTTAAGACTGAAGAGGCCCGGCGTGTGCTGCAGTGTCATAAACCTGTGCAAGCCTCTTACTTCCAGGCCCTTCAGCAGGACTGTGTGTCCAGCAACGGCACATACAACAACCACCAACACAATCTCTCCAGCAGCAGATAACCTGCAGAATCATCCGGTTTTCTACCTTTTCTTACCCGACCGAACCACTATCACTGTTTTTTTTTTTCTTTTCTTTTTTTTCTTCATTTCTGCACATTAATGACAACATTGAATGAAATCTGATTGCATTGTACCAGCCTTTTTTAGTGTTCAGATACAGAGTAGAGTCTGGGGATGTGTGATATAAGAGAAAAGTCGAAGAATAGTTGGCAAATGAAAGTTTGTCTTGTGTTTTAATGAATGCTTGCATGAGATTCTCATTTCCTAACATCAGGTTTATTGAGTGCAACTACACTATTGTGTCTTGAAGTAAGTGGTGTTTAAAGAGAAAGCTGTCAGAAGTGTTGATGATGGTGTTTTGTGGCCCTTTGGTTTTGCGTTGTGTGAATGTGCAGTTATATTGAGTTGGTTGAGTTATTTGCATGAGCATGTCACACATTAATGAACTTAAAATACAGGGAGTCTTAGGTTTTCTAAAGCGAATGTAGATGTTTTCTTGGTCGTAATGATGAACGGGGCCATTCGACGTTTGTTTAGTGGTGAAATCGCATATAGCTCATAGTTTTAGTTCTTGAAACTGCTAAGCAAAATGGGTATCATGTCTTAAATTGATCAAAAGGAGTTGAAATCAGCCAATATTACACACTCGGGAACACAAACGCAGGTACTGTCAGATTAGTTTTTAAAAAAACACATTTGTAAAATGTATTAATGTTGATGGGGTTTAGTGGTTAGTAGACCACCACTTTTACCATTGAAGGAGATTTTGATAGAAATTGAAGTGGGGATTTTTCCGGGCCTGCAATCCTAGATGTCCTGGGGAAAGGGAATTAATTCAGTGGCTTCATGTGATGCTGGTAGGTCCAGTTCACTGAGTGCACTTGTTTTGTTGTGCCACAGGATTGTATGTAAGAGAAAAGAAGCTGTGGATGGACATTCAGGAATTGAGTTACAGTGAAATGACATCAGTGGCATAAATCTCGTACGCTGGACCGCTGATGTTCTTTCTCACTCTTCTGAGGGCTTTGCACCCATAATCATTGCACAATAGCAACAATTTACAAATGTCTCGGTTATTTCAGTTTTAGTTGTAATAATTTCAAATGATTGTTTGTCCATTTATAAACTATAACGAGTGAGTGTGTGTGTGTGTGTAGAGTATGTGGTTTTGTATGATTGAAATAATGTGAATAGTCGAAAGACTTGATGCCAAGGTTAGCTGACTGTCTAATGAATTGCCTCTCGTAAGGGGATGGATTTTGTTTGAAATGTTTACAACTTGATTGTAGTTTCTCTTCGGACACTGGATATTCACTGACCTCTTTTCATTTGTTGATGATGACTGTTAATAATGGTGTCATTTCATTTTTAAAAGGCGCCTTTCTTGGTCTTAAACCTATTTAATCTGTCCTAATTATAAATAGTTATTTTTATTTGTTTCTGATTTATACATTTTTCTCAAACATGTACTTTAGATGAGAATTGTTTAGGTGAACTTGTCTTATCAGCATTTCAATGTTTAATTATTAATTGGAAAGCTAAAAATATATTGTTTTGCTATAAGTTTAGTTCACTAAACCCAATCCAAAAATGGTCCTCCAATGTGTGTATACATTTTTATTTTATTTTAATACTGATCAATGTGATTTCAATAGTAAAACCTGTGCCACAACAACAGCATATTTAAAGGTGCAGTAAGTGATTTAAACACTGTTGATATTTGAAAATAAATTAAAAAAACACACCCCTCCCTTCTTTGCTCACTTTCCTCCGTCAGCATGAGTGGACACGCCCCCTAGTGCTGATTGGTTCACTCTCATCCCTCATCATGAGTGGACATGCCCCCTAATGCTGATTGGCACACTCACTCTCTCTCATTACGAGTGGACACACCCCCTACTGCTGATTGGCTTACTCTCCCTCATCATGGGTTGACACATCCCCTAATTCTGATTGGCTTACTTTCCCTCATCATGAGTGGACACACCCCTACTGCTGATTTGCAAACTCTCCCTCATCATGAGTGGACACACCCCCTAATGCTGATTGGCTCACTCTCCCTCATCATGAGTGGACATGACCCCTAATGCTGATTGGCTTGCTTACTCTATCTCCTTCCCCATCATGAGTGAACACGCCCCCTAATGCTGATTGGCTCACTGTCCATCATCATGAGTGGAAACAACCCCTAAAGCTGATCGGCTCGCTCACTCTAACTCCTCCCCCATCATGAGTGGACACGCCCCCTGATGCTGGCTACACGTTTGTTGTGATGCTCGGTCTGATCCACTTTCAACGGTGTTTCTCAGAAATCGTTTACTGCACCTTTACCAGCTGTGGCAGACACTGGTGATGACGTCTAATGATTTATGATTAATATGATCTTTCTCTACCCATGTATTGCAATCATTAGTGAAATGTGAATAAGCAATGAACAAAACACTCTTTGTACTGAAATCATGCCAGATTTGTTCCTGAATTGTAAATGCTGCATTGTTTGAAAATAAGTTTTTACACTTCTTCAATTTTTGTTTAGTAGAGAGATTTGTTTTGGTGTAAAGTATTCGAAAACATTTCAAGAATCTCAAATCTTTCCTCAGTCCTTTGTATTTCCTTTTGTAACGTTTCAAGCACATACAGTATACCCTGTATCGCTCTGCTGTATCTGATATTGGGAAAAGAAAATTTGACTGTATAACAGTTGTCAACAATTTAATTAATAAAACATAAATGCTACATGCATATCATGAATCTCTGGTGCAGTCGTTACAGTTTCTTGCAATTTCTTCTTGGCTCGGTTTGCTTCACAAGGCAACATTTCTCAACGGACCAAATTTACAAGTCGTGTACAAACCCAATTCCATAAAAGTTGGGACACTGTACAAATTTTGAATAAAAACAGAATGCAATGATGTGGAAGTTTCAAATTTCAATATTATATTTAGAATACAACATAGATGACATATCAAATGTTGAAAGTGAGACATTTTGAATTGCCATGCCAAATATTGGCTCCTTTTGGATTTCATGAGAGCTACAAATTCCAAAAAAGTTGGGACAGGTAGCAATAAGAGGCCAGAAAAGTTAAATGCACATATAAGGAACAGCTGGAGGACCAATTTGCAACTTATTAGGTCAATTGGCAACATGATTGGGTATAAAAAGAGCCTCTCAGAGTGGCAGTGTCTCTCAGAAGTCAAGATGGGCAGAGGATCACCAATTCCCCCAATGCTGAGGCAAAAAATAGTGGAGCAATTTCAGAAAGGAGTTTCTCAGAGAAAAATTGCAAAGAGTTTGAAGTTATCATCATCAACAGTGCATAATATCATCCAAAGATTCAGAGAATCTGGAACAATCTCTGTGCATAAGGGTCAAGGCCGGAAACCCATACTGAATGCCCGTGATCTTCGGGCCCTTAGACGGCACTGCATCACACACACAGGAAGGCTACTGTAATGGAAATCACAACATGGGCTCAAGAATACTTCCAGAAAACATTGTCGGTGAGCACAATCCACCGTGCCATTCACCGTTGCCGGCTAAAGCTCTATAGGTCAAAAAAGAAGCCATATCTAAACGGGAACCAGAAGCGCAGGCGTTTTCTCTGGGCCACGGCTCATTTAAAGTGGACTCTAGCAAAGTGGAAAACTGTTCTGTGGTCAGACGAATCAAAATTTGAAGTTCTTTTTGGAAAACTGGGACGCCATGTCATCCGGACTAAAGAGGACAAGGACAACCCAAGTTGTTATCAGCGATCAGTTCAGAAGCCTGCATCTCTGATGGTATGGGGTTGCATGAGTGCGTGTGGCATGGGCAGCTTACACATCTGGAAAGGCACCATCAATGCTGAAAGGTATATCCAAGTTCTAGAACAACATATGCTCCCATCCAGACATCGTCTCTTTCAGGGAAGACCTTGTATTTTCCAACAAGACAATGCCAAACCACATACTGCATCAATTACAACATCATGGCTGCGTAGAAGAAAGATCCGGGTACTGAAGTGGCCAGCCTGCAGTTTAGATCTTTCACCCATAGAAAACATTTGGCGCATCATAAAGAGGAAGATGCAACAAAGAAGACCTAAGACAGTTGAGCAGCTAGAAGCCCTTATTAGACAAGAATGGGACAACATTCCTATTCCTAAACTTGAGCAACTTGTCTCCTCAGTCCCCAGACGTTTGCAGACTGTTATTAAAAGAAGAGGGGATGCCACACAGTGGTAAAAATGGCCTTGTCCCAACTTTTTTGAGATGTGTTGATGCCATGAAATTTAAAATCAACTTATTTTTCCCTTAAAATTATGCATTTTCTCAGTTTAAACATTTGATATGTCATCTATGTTGTATTCTAAATATAATATTGAAATTTGAAACTTCCACATCATTGCATTCTGTTTTTATTCACAATTTGTACAGTGTCCCAACTTTTATGGAATTGGGTTGTACATGAATTTTGAAAAATACCTGTTCTTGTCTTAGGACAACTTTGATGAACTCTTTTGATTATGTTGTGTGGGTACCTCCAGGAAATTTTGAATTTCGTAGAGGTGATTTCCTCTGTGCATGTATGTGTGAGTGAGAGAGAGTGACAGAGACAGCCAATAAAGCTTATTAAATTGAAATAGCAGGTCTGTGTGTGAGAGAGAGTAAGATAATGACAGCGAGTGTGTGTGTGGTCTAAAGTGAGTGAGTTGGAGAGATAGATGGTGTGTGTGTGTGTGTCATGTTTAGATTACATTGTGTGGACCCCACAAGTATAGTAAAACCTGAAATCACCTACATTGTGGGGACCAGTGATGACCAGTGTTTCCTGGGGATAGTAAGGGGATAGAATATACAGTTTTACAGTATAAAAAACATTACGCCTATAGAGAGTCCCCACAAAGATGTGTGTGTGTGTTTGTGAGGGAGGGAGAAAGAGAGAGTAAAGAGTAGAGAGAGGTATTTAACAGATGTGTGTGTATGAGAGGGTGGATGGAGTGAATATGTGAGTGAGTTAGAAGGGATGGAGAACTCTTATTTGTACAGGAACTTTGCTTGTGGTGTTATGTTTTTACTGTTAAAGCTACATAAGCATGTTTCCTGATTTCCCTACTTGAGAATCCTTGTCCAATGAATGGACGACCTTAGCACACGTGTGGTTTTGTTTACAAATTTTGGTTCACTTGCGAAATAAAGCAGTGTGAAAGCGAACCGAACCAAAAAAAAAAAACGTATTTGGTCCGGACCAATGCAAGTGAACTATCGGACTTTCCTGTTGTGAATACACCCTTAGTGATGAAACTGTAGAACAACGACTTACTGTATTGACCTGCCTCTCCTTCCTCGAATGCCAAAATGAATGCTGGGATATTTCTGCCATTAAGTTCACACAACGGATCCATCCTCGGTAAAATGGCCGTGTCAAGAACACTTCCGGGATTTTTAACTGTTCTTGCCAAAATGCAAACTTGTGTATTGGGACAGTAATTGGGCCACAAAAGATGATGTTTGACAAGAACACAAGGACACAAGAACAGACAAGAACACAGATTGAGAAAGGCCCAGAGTCTATGTTCTTCTTCTGCAGATGGTTAAACAGCATGTCTACATGTGGCATGATTTTGTGGAATAACGCCAGAATAAAGCAGAAAACCTCATCTTCCAACATTCTCATACAACCCCCGGCTTCTCTCTTCGATATGGCATCAAAGTCTCCTCTGTCTCGAATGGTTTGGAAGCACTTAACCAGTTCATCTTTGTGCTCTTAAAGGGTACATATCATGCTTTTAAATCATTCATTTTTACATATAAATCATACCGTTGTGGTCTATATAAAACATAACTGCAATGCTTGGGTCTGAATTCCTCATTATCATAGCTCCACAAGCCCCTTTTCTACCCCTTTTCTGATGTGCGTCTTTGAGCGACCCGTTTCAAAGCGGCCCCTTTAAATAAAAAGGAGATGCGTCACACCCCGCCCGCTCTCCAGGTCGATGAGTTCACGGTCGGTTCAACTCCCCCGTTTGGCCATTATTGTTGTAGTTTGATTAGAGATATACGATTATATACGATACCTTCAAAGAACATTTTTATTCACACTTTAATAAAATGTCAACAACAGAAGACTTGTCCATCAAGCCTTACATATTCCAGCCAGAGCGAGCGAGTTGATAAAGACGACGACGAACCTGCAGAACAACCTCTTCATATGGGTATATTGGTATGTGAGTTAACTGTTTTGTGTTATTAGTGAAAGTCGACTATTTCTCTTGTTAAAACAAGCACACTGACAAGATAAATGACTACGGTCTAATCTTACCATAAAAAAATTTGTATTGACAATATGATACGTTTAGAAAAGCATCAGAAAACAACGCAGCTAAATGACCATTGATGAAACTCAAGAACAATAATACTGCAGACGTGTAACGTTACTTCAAAACAAAAAAAAAGAAAGAAAAATGTACTGCTAAACCATGACCAACATGTGTTTTAAGAAAGTAAAGTAATTTATTTTTATTAACGATATTTACAGCTTATGGAAATTCTCTGTTCGTCGTCTCCAAAGATAGAAGGAATTGACCTCTCATTCAGACGAAGTCAATCGGCAAACCCTTCTTTATACTGGCGGAGGTTGTTGAAGTGGGAATCCTTGAAGTGCTTCAGGTCACAAACGTACATCCAAAAAACGAACATTTTGACTTGCCCTCTCGTAACTTCTGCATCATTGAGCTCGGACTACAAATTCGGAGCGAGAAATAATAATGGCGGATTGCTCGAAGTTTTGCACCGGTAGTCAATGTCTTTATTTGGCAGTTCTGCTGCAAATACTGTGACGCACTTGCTCAAAAAACGTCATAGAGAACAGAAAAATCTGAACAGGTTGAAAAATATGACCAAAACAGAATATAAAGATATAAACGAAGCACCTGAAGAGAATAATTTCATCTTTTCTGTACTTATAAACACTCCAAATATACAACAAAATGCATTTAAGGGCTAAAAAAGTGGATTTTGCATGATATGTCCCCTTTAACTGTTAACAGCATGTGAAGTACCTGGAAGTCGGTGTGCCACCACGTCCAGCACTGCCGTTCGTTTGAATGACTTAGGAAAAAATGTAGAAAACCTCCTAATGTCTGAAAAAAAATGGCCAATCTTTGGGATGTAGGATCTTGCCTGGTGCATTATAAGTTCAACTGATGTGATCCCGTAGACAACTTGCACTTTACGCTTTACACTTTAACTTGCACTTTACGCACTTTGGGCGGCAGTGGCTCAGTGGTTCATGTGGATTGTCTACGAACCAAAAGGTTGGTGGTTCAATCCTCGGTTCCACCTGACCAAGTGTCGAGGTGTCCGTGAGCAAGACACCTAACCCCAGCTGCTCCCGACGAGCTGGCTGGCGCCTTGCATGGCTGACACCGCCGTCGGTGTATGAATGTGTGTGTGAATGGGTGAATGTGAGGCAAATGTAAAGCGCTTTGGTGGCCATTAGGTCTATGAAGGCGCTATATAAATGCAGTCCATTTACCATTTACCATTTACGCTGCACTCCACCAGTAGCACCCCTCATCATAGGCCTGGACAATTACATTTCTCTCTTTTCCCACAGGAAGAATGGTGTTCAGACTCCAATAATGCAGTGGCAATCGTATCAGCAGTCGCATTTGGAAGCGTGATAAACTCAAAATAGTATTCTTGAATGTTGTTGTGGCCATCTACAGTATGTACAGTAGCAAAAGCACGAGCTGACAATGAGTGCAG